GGGGGGGGGGGGAATAGGGGTATAATAGAAGTAGAGACTCATAGGACGGTAAAGTAGGAAAGTGCTTATAGGGAGGGATAGAGGGGGAGGGAGAGAGAAACAGGTAGAAACGACTAAGTACTTATAGGTAGGGAGGGAGAGGGATAAGTGAAAACGACTAAGTACTTATAGGTAGGTGGTTTATAGAGGTAAAGGGAGTAGGAAAGGCTTTATAATATAGATAGATAACTCTCGGAACGCTTAGGTTACGCTTAAACTCTCTTAGAAGTATAATAGTCTCTAGAGTACTCTCTCTCGAGCCTCTATCCCTAGGATCCTACTTTTTTATACTTAATTAACTCGGTGTCAGGTATTTCTTAAAACCGTCCCTACTTTTAACTACCTAATTAGGACGGTGTTAGGAATTTCTGTACAGTGGTAGGAAATGTCTGACACCGAGTTCCCAGAGGGCCCACCATCGAAGACTTCTACACAAACACATACAATACAAGGAACCTACCAGGAAGCAACATACCTGCTGTTAATTGACCACGCTCCGACGAAAAGGATGCCGGTAATGCACGCCTCTGGTATATTATTCTATGTTGCCTCGATATTTCTGCATTCATAAGTATGGTGTGAATAAGGCGCGCACTATTATCGAGATTAGTATATCACACAGTAGGGCGACAGTAAGGGTAGGATAATAGTCTCTAAGCTCGTAGCTAATATAATAGCCTAAATCTGTCCTATAGTAAAAACACATTTATAATTAAAAGTTCCATAATTCCGTACTCGATCGGCCTATGTCCATTCCCTAGAAGCAACAACACCAACCAAACCCAAACATCATCACTTCACAAAACCCGACTTCCTGTAAAAACAATTGTCCAGGCTAATCCTCGGGTAACCCCCAAACCAAGCCAAGTAAAAAATCCCACCCCATATCCCTATCCCAATTCTGCTCCGAAAGTCTACCTAACCCTCCATCCAAGCGGCTGACAACCAATCAAAACCGCGGGCCGTGCCGTCCGTCTATTTTTATCGTCCCAGATGTGTACTAGCTCGCGGGATCACGACTATCAAAATGCACGCCGCCATCGCGTTACTGGCTTCGTCAAAATCGGAGGTTGCGTGGGAACAGCTTTTTACCGCTGTGGCAGACGCCACAGAGGTACGGGTTGCACAGCTCATTTGTTTGGAAGGGTTATCTAGAGAATGGTGCCTCCCAGTTTTCGTCTGGTTCTTTGGTTCTCTGCAGTTTGCTTTGCGGTGTTTAACTACGAGTAACGGCTTTGGAGTAATCAGTATGCGGATGTCGAATTCTTTGAGGTCGAAGGATACTTCGTCAATGGCTTTGTTTGCGATCTTGAGTCTCGGTATTTAACCCTTTTTTTTTTGAACTGTTTTTGCTATAACATGAGAAAGCGACTAACGATTTTAATAGCTGCATTGGGGTTGACTATTTGCGTACTACTAGGTTGCAGTGCTCCCACAGACGCAAGGTACTCCCTCTACTCGGTAAACGGCACCAACATAACGCGTATCATGGGCAAGAACTGCACATCATGCGCATACAACAATGTTGCTGATAGATATATGTTTGGGATGTCTAGTTAGTGGATGGTCGTCCAGTCCAACGCTACTTTACTCACCAAATCTAGGTGTTTGTCGAGCCAGGAATGGAACTTTGAGTTGCGATGCCTCGTTTCCAAGTTCGTTCGATATTACTGCTTTGACTTTCGAGGATATTGGTGGCTCGAATAGTTCTAACGCGTCTTCGGTTAATGCGGAGCAGTCGAAACAATACGCGAGCACAACTTCGATCAATCATTCTCTTGTCCAGCGTCTTTCGAAGGCTGTCGCTGGGATTTTGATCGCTTCTGCCATCTGCAATTTACTACTGTTCATCCCAATGTATTTTTTCGTCCAGTATATCAGGCCAAAATCCAGTATAGGAAAAATCCTATCCAATCTTGTGGTCCTTGATTGCTGTGGCTTGTGTGCCGCCGTAGGCATGGTATATTCCATCTTCCGAAATGAAGTTGGAGGTGTTTATGAGCATGCGGCTCCGGAGATCCACTTTACCAAGTGGCCTGTCAGATTCGAATTGGGTTTCTGGTTTCTTGTTGGTGCCGCTGCGTCGAGAGCTTTGAATATATTTCTGGCCGCGGGTATATATTCGCAGAAGAAGAAGGGAGCGGATGAAGCGAGACCGTGGAACCATAACGACGGAAGGGAAGCACATCAGCGAAACCAGGGAAGAGCGAGCCGAATCTCGATTTCGCACGATAGTTTGACCTACAAGATTGCAGGTACCATTGAGATGCTGCGAGCAGCTGTTCAGACCTATCCAGCCATTTATAGGATCGATGAAGGTTGCAAAGAATTATTCAGGCAAGTTCCAGATAACCATACGCTTGCCTCTGCGATATCACCTCACTTCAATCGGCAAAGCTGTGATCACTTTCTCGGTATAGATCATTGGGGATCCAGAGCAGCATCGGGGAATCTTCTCTGGGCAAGTTGTCCAAATGATGGCTATGGTTATCACACAGATTCAATCGACCCTCGCGCCCGCGGAGTCTACCTCATCGTTCTAAGCGAGTGTTGTCACGGCGGTAGACCCAGTACCACACAATACCGCTACGTCGGAAGCGGAAGGAGCGTGAACGGCAAAGGTCGAGCAGCAGGTACAGGCGGAGTCATGCGTCGAGTAGCAGAACACACCAGTCGGGAATACCGCCACGCCAATCCATCCACTCTCTACAATATCTGGCACAGTCTACAATCCCCATGTATTGCTATATATCTACTAGCGGAGTGGAACGCTCTACCTATCACCGCGAATCCCTCGAGCGACGAGACGTTTGATGACATTCTACTAGCAGAGGCCGTTTGGCAGGTCATGTTACAGACCTTCACGACGGGGAGAGATGGGAATTGGTCGGATTTCACGGCCTTTCTTCAGGGGATGGGGTATGGTCATGAGAGACTCTTTGGTCATCCGAATGGTTGTAATGTGGATTCTGCTTTGGAGAAGAAACGTGGGCATCGTGGGTGGTAATGAGTTCTTATCCTTTTCAGCCCCTTGAAATATTTGATTCCATTTAGCCCTACAAAAACGATAATCCGTCTCCTGCCTAAATCCTTACTCCCATGTCACAAAATCTTCATATCAAATATTGACCACCCACATCTCCCCTCTCACCTCCCCTCTCCCTACCAACGAACCCCCCCAAAAAGCCAGCAATCCCAAATCCAAATCCCAATCTCGTTACTCCTTAAAAAATACTACATACCCTTCCCTAACCCCTCAAACTATATAGCATCTATATAAACACTCTCCATAACCACACACTAACCCTAACACAATATAACACCACGCAACAAGCAAGTTCCAAAATATAGCAGATATAGCCCATAATACCTACCTACGAACCTCTCCTACCCAAGGACTTGCTTCAGATTTTAACAACCCCCAAAGAAGCCACCAAACACCAAGCCCTAATCCCCATTCCCCAATCCCACTTCCCCATACTCACCACCACAAAACTTCCTCAAACCTCAACCTCTGAATCAATTAGTAGTTCCCAAGACGACATAGGTAGCATCCCACTATCTATCAAGGATACACTTATCGCTTACACTACATCTACAACTACGACGTATAGACTAGTGAATTAGCCAGCATAAAATCCTTTTTTTTAAAAATAAAAAAAAAGATCAACTATAATCTTTCCCCCCTATCTATATATAATTAGTCCCCTCATTTTTTCCTCCTTAAATTTAAATCGAACTTACATCCCCACATCCTCCCGCAATCTAACGCTTAACCAGTGCGCGTCCACCCCAAGTACTTATCTTATCATCGGAAACACCTTTTTTCGTAGTGTCGTCGCTTCTGGGAATTGGTGTATAGGGGACACACACTAACCGGGAGGTACCAGTTCTAATAGTAGTAGTTATAGTATTTCACAATATAAAAATTATATTATAACTTTTTTAGGGCTGGGGGCTACGCAAGGAGTTCTAATTGATTGATTGGTTAGCTGGGGGATTTTCGGAATAGTAGTATTAATTAGGCGATGGCAAGAAGATACCCACCTACTAATGAGTAAGCAATAGGAAGAGGAGGCGATGAGGGTAGGTGGTAGATAGGAAATACCTAGCGAGGGCTGGTGGAGGGTGTTACAGTAGTCTCTACTCGTATAGCTAATGGAACATCTACCTACTGCTACCTATCCCAAGCCCTCCCCAAGCCCTTCCCATACCCACACTAAGCACCCAGTAACCCAATACACCACACCACCACGACGCAGCGAGTAAGTTTCACCACATAGCAGAGAATATGCAATACCCACCTACCCACCTACCAGCCTACTCACTAACCCTCTCCCACCCAAGAGCATGTAGGAGTCTAAATTTCCATTCCATTCCAGTTTCCAATTTCCAAATCAAGTTCATTTCAATATCATCTACTTACTCAGTAAGTAAGTAAGTACTTATATATTTAGAGTACAAATATAATACTTCCACAGTTTTTCCACCTCTACTTTACTTTACTTGACACTCCTTTATTTACCTTTATTTACCTCTACTCCAACCACCTCTGCTTTGCCTAAGTACCCAAGTATCTAAGTACCACAGTAGTAAGTACATATCAATATATAACATAACTCCAACGCACACAAGTGAATGACACCTCTCCTCCACCAATGACACGACGTACTTGTACACGAAAAAGAAGAAAAGAAGGAAGAAGAAAACAACCAACCCAAGTCCTCGACCAGAGAAAACATAGATCTAAGCTCGTAAGCTACCAGATCTTACTTAACATATATACAAACACACATCCCACGCCAGGCCAACAGGCGTCCGGCCATTCAAAACACTGTTACACATCAAGATCTCACCAATCACCGTAAAAGCAATCAGGCTCGCCTCTAGCCAGTAGACTTCGCACTGTAAAAACAGATACCAATTCACAGTATCGTTACAGTACAAATTCACATCACATCACATCACATCATCGGCACACACTACAAAAGATTCTACAACCCATTCCTTGATTGCTCAAAGAAAAGGACTGAACTGACTACCTACCTACCATCCCTCCCAACTAACTACCTCACGAAAAAGCAAGTTCCACCCCCATCACCCAGCGACTCCAGAGAAAAAATGAATGAAAGGGAAAAGATGTAGAAGGAAACTATGATACAACCAGGTCTGGTTCAGCACCTGTATCCTGCCACGTTCACTGCCTTCTTCATTCCACCGAATGGTCTTCATCCCTCGATTCCGGTACTGAGTGGCTCCCGGAACTCATGCAGAAATCCTCCTGTCATGCATGGTAAACAATCTCGCGCCTTCAATTTTTTTCCTCCTCCGCCCTGCCTCTCTACCCAAGGAGCAACCTCTTCATCAACAAGAAGAGAAAAATGAGTACAATTCCTCTCTATCCACGAAAGAAGACGGCTGTGATATGGAAAATAAAAGAGAAAGAAAAGAGGAAAGGGGGTACAGGTCGTGGTATTCGTGTAGTGAGGTGCGAAGAGATCAGGCAAATAAATGCCAACAGCAACAACAGGAAATACTAGAACGATGATGTCGCAGAGACCGGAAAAGGGGTGCCGAGTCTGAACAGATACTGGAAAAATTTCGCTTTTGCGTTAAGCATGCGCAGGGACTGAATAACACTGCACATAATTGTCCGAGGTAATGTTCAATACCCTTTTCGGATGTGGATTAGCCTCGAAAAGAGGTGAAATTCGTTCCTCCTTTGTGTGGAAGCATCCTCGAGCTAAGGAAATAACGCAAAGAGAGGCACGGTGTTGGCGATCTACCATTCGTACTCGCCTTGAGCCTTGTGGAAGACGTATTCTTTGCCGTTGACTGTCAAGACACCATCCTTCATGACACACTTCCTAGAAGGTTTATTAGTATTCTATGTCAATATTTGAGACATAATTTGACGTGCCACTTATTCTTAACTCGCTGAACTTTGTCATACATGCAAAGCATGATATGACCCATTCCATCCTCGTCATCCTCGTCGTCATTGGCGCCATCATCCGGATCATCAAGGTCAGAGTTGATGGCATCTTCATCGAACTCCTCGTCCTTGACCCCATCAGAACCAGGTCCATCATGCTGAGCTAATGAGCGTGATAATTTTGCCACCTTACGTTGACGTGTTGCAGAAGTGGATGCCTGTTTGAGAGGTAACATTAGGCCACCACCTTCCATCTTCTGACCCATTGCCTCGATCTTTTGACGAATCAAACCATCAACCTCGATTCTACCCATGGTGATCTCATCGCCATTTGCATCGACTTGTTTGATGAGTCCCATTGATTCCAATTCCTTGTCACCAGCACCATCAGTTTGAGCTGTATTGACACCATTTTGACCGGGTTGTTGACCAGTGTGAGACTGCATTTGCTTCTGTGCCTGATTTGCCATAGCTTGTCTATATCGCTCATGAGCCAAGTTGGGTCTTGGTTGTTGCATTTGACCTTGCTGTGGAATTGGGCCTTGCTGCGGAGCTTGACCCTGCTGTGGTATTTGGCTTTGCTGCGGCATTTGACCAGTATGCTGTTGCTGCTGTTGAATTTGCTGCATCTGTTGTTGTCTCTGTGCCATAGCGTGCTGCTGTTGCTCTTGCATTCTCACTTGTTGAATGTTTTGAGGTTGTTGAGGATTTTGTTGCTGTACCCGCTGTGCGCCACCTTGAATAGCGTTGATAGATGCAGCAGCTCGATGACCATAATTGTGTTGCAAATGCTGAGCGGCTCTTTCCCCAGCAGTGTTGGGAACCGGCATGGAAAGTGTGGGATTTTGGTATGGAGGTTGGCTCATACCACCAATTGGTGGGCTTTCCATTCCAGGTTCCGTCTTAACACGTACACCACCATTGATATTATTGTTCATAACTGGAGGCTGTTGAGGCATACTATTTTGCCCCTGAACATTTTGGGCGTTGTTCATGTGATAGTTGCCTGCATTAGAGGGGAGAGTTGGTGGTTGGACGATGGCTTGTGGTGGATCTGGCTTCGGGTCCCAAGGAAAAGCAGCAACCTGAAGAGATGACAACTTTTGTTGCCATACCTAAAAGATGCATTAGCCATGATCATACTTTCGAATAGAAAATAACAAAGTGGCACAGAAGTGGAAGGAATATAGGAACATGGTGTTCCAATAAACCATCCCCGGTGACTTCGGTGAGCGGAAAAGGAGTCCGACACGTGATGAAGCGACCGGAAAGGAACTAGCGCGAGCGGGAAATTTGGCTAAGCGAATGGCCGGGTATAAAGGCAGACAGCCAAATACTGAGGGTCGCCCACCTGCGAAGGCCGAGCTGGAGAGGTGAAGGGGCCAACCGCCAGCACAGGCAGCCGTCCCAGCGCAGCTAGGCAGCACCCACCATTCTCGACCACGACGACACTTGCCATTCATCCAAAGGCCATCACACCGCCCGATCCATCTCTTTTCACGATCCAAGAATTATACAACATGTGCAGAAGCGCCATGATGCTTTTTCCGAAGATGCACAAGTAGTGCAGCGCAGTGGATGGAGATGGAGATGAAATGGTCACTACATACCGAACGCATCTCCTCCAGCACGGAATCCTCCACGCCACCTTCCTCAAAATCCACGCGCGAGCTCTCAATCACATCTGCGATGATCTGCTGGTATGCATTTCCGACCTGCGCGTTCGACATCGTGACGGTATTCGGGATCTGGTCGCTGTCGCGTGATGTTGAAGTCAAAGGCGAAGGCGATGTGGGAGCTGTAGCTGTAGCTGTTCCACTATCTCAACCACCTCGCAACTGCTGCAAGACGTGCAACGGACGGTAGGTCACCTCGAATTCTAGATGATGCTCAATCGTTGCGATGATACAGCGGCAGACTTGAGATCGTGATTCTGGCTTTGGAAAGGCAATGCGCGGTGTAGAGGTCGCGATGGTCAGATCTTGACTGCGCAACGAGGCGGCGCTGCGGACTCCAAACTCCCCTCCACTCTGCGCAAAAGCGTTGATTTTTCCTTGTGTATTCTTTGCTTGATTCTGACTATATGATGTGACTCGCGACGTGGTTGGATTTGTCTTTGGGAGTTGAGGTGGTTGATGTCAGAGCTGTTGTAGGAGGGATGTCGGCTGGCTGAGATGTAGCCTTGGATGGGGTTTGGTTTCGCTTACTAAGTAGCTTAGCGTGTCGGTCCACGCTGCTAAAGTGATGTGGTCCTCACTCACCTTGACATCGTAGCTGTCTCTCCAATTCATCTCCATTGTGCTTTTTATATACTGTGAACAAGTTGTCGTTGGAATATATCCTGTTGGATAGGAAGACGTTTGTTACGTTCAAAAATACTTTCCATTGGATGCACATCACCTGGGGTCGCACAATGTCTGAACCATTGGACCAACACCTAAGACTCTGAAACTATAAAATCCCATCTTTCCACGTGCCGTGTATCTGATGCTGATGAAGGTTCCATCCAAAGAAGCCATCACTGCTTGTGAAATATACCTTTGTACCAAGGATTTGAACTTGACCCAGAATTTGTTCTGTCAATTGAGTTCATCCGATTGTTCCGTCTCCAAAGCATAGGTAGTTGTGCTCAGTCCAGCTACTGCAAAGAACCCAAATCTTGCATTCTCGCAAATCCAAACAATAAACTCTCGCAGTAAGTACTAACATCTCCTCCATGGTAAATATATTCACACTCATCAAGAAATTTTCAAGCCCATCTCTAGTACAACCATCTCATTCACTCACACCTCATATCCTCTTCAAGCCAAACCAAGCCTATCATCTTTCACCCTTTCACCCTCTCCCCATCCCACCCCATCACCCTATCACCATTCACCCATATAAAATCATAAAATCAACTCCCCAATATCATACCATCTCCCAACTCAACTCAACACACCTCAACACACCCTCACCCAAGTCCCTTACATATAACCACATCACGATGCGCTCACCGCTCCCCCTTCCTTTTCGTCCACGTCCGTTCGTTCAACAAAGCCCGAGAACACTAACAAACAAACCCTCGGCGGAAAACAAAAACAAGAGTTTCCGCGTTCTTGGACACACTTCGTACGTAGCTAGTTTCCAAGAAAAGACAAGAAATGCTGATGGTGAGTTTGCGGGGAAAGTCTGGGGAAGGATGGAAGGAAGGATGTCTGGGGGGGAGTTGTGACTGATGGGGTGAGTTGTGGTGTGGATAAATAGGAGAAAATAAATGATGGTAGGTAGGTATACACACGGAATCGTGAGGGGTTCTTTGCACACTGTAGGTAGCGATGGCTTTCTTAGGAATTATTGTTTATGTCTAGCTACCTACCTATACTCCTCATCAATAATGAGCTAGCGCTTACTACAATCGTACTGTCTTACTTCATATCCATCAATACCCCCCTGCCCCCCTGCCCCCCCTCTCTTCCTGTCCTACACACCACCATCACCATCACCTCCATCACCACCATCCCCACAAACTACCACACTCCTGTCCACTCCCCCCTCCCCTCCTAGTCCCTCCAAATCCCACCCCAATGGTCACCCGTCTCACCCATCTCACCCATCCCACAAAAACACACAAAAACACACAAAGCTACACAAAGGTACACAACTTCTCTCAACCAACGCATCTTACACAAACCCTCTCACTCTCTCAGCCAACACACACACCAAAGCCGCGAGATACAGTAGCAAAACAAGCATTCTCCCTCGTACAGGTTTTGTGTTTCGTGCTACGACGCTACGATGATATGCTTGAGGTGGGTGGGTGGGTGTGTTGCGGTAGGAGTTGGAGGTTCTTGGGTTTGGGTTTGGGTTTGGGTTTGGGGAGGGGGGATATTGGGATTTTGGAGGGTTTGTGGTGAGGTTGCTTAGTGTGAGGGTTGAAGTTGGATTGGGGTGTGGTGGTGGGTGAGGAGAGTGTTGAGGGATGGAAGCTGCGATACTTTTGGATTGGGATGAGGATGCGATTTAAGGTGTGAGTGTGTGTGTGTACTTGGTGGGATTTGGGGGAATTCGGGGATAGGTGGATTGTTGCTGAGGTGGAACGAAAAGGGGAGAGTGATGTAGGAGTGTTAATATAGGAATTAAAAGGGAAGCTATACAGCATAAACAAGTCCCAAGATTCAAAATCTAGACTCTATACCACCCTCACTCTACTGTACCAACCTAAATACTCCATTCATCCCCATATCCAGGTATGCCCCCTCCAAAAAAACACACAATCATTAAACATACATTACGCATGAATCCAACCAACCCAAATCCATTCCTAAATAGTATACCTAAAAAACGAAGCATAATCTCCCTTCTCTCTCTCCTCGGATTTCTGCGCTTCGGTATAGTTCTCAGGTAACATGTTATTTTCCACCGCCCAGGCATCCCTTCGTGCGTTCTCGCGTCGCAGATACCATGTCATGTAGGAGGTGAGGATGAAGGACATGGAGACGGTGCTGGCTAGTGTTACGTGGCCGGGGATGAATCTGTGGAAAAGAAAAGTGTTAGTTTTGTTACACAGCCACTATCATATCGGACACAGAAGGGGTCGAAAGGAAGATGATAGGAGAAGAAGGGAAGACATACCTCGGACTATACTTGGGCAAAAAACAATACGCACTAATCGCGCCCCCTAAATTCCCAAAACCAACATGCATCGCAATCCCCACACCCCTCTTCAGCGATCCCCCGATGTTATTTCCGTTCCATGCAACTCCCATAGGCACCAGAGGATAGATCCCCGAAGCTGCGAAAAAGGTCCCGGCGTATTGGACTCCTGATTTCCCCGTGGCGGCGAGCATGGCGAATCCGATGATGGCGGAGGCTTGGAAGATGAGCATGAAGATCCCGCGTTGTTTGAGCTTGTCGGCGAAGAATCCCGCGCCGATGGTGAAGATACATGCCACTGTAATATGTTAGGATTTGGTGGAGGCGAGGGGGAAGGGGAGAAGAAGGGGGAAATGTACCTGCGTAAGGGGGGACGGTCATCAATTGGGAGGTTTCGTTGGTGTAACCCATGTTTTTCACGATTGTGGGGAGGAAGAGGGAGAGGGAATAGAGAGGGGTGTAGATCCCTATTGTGATGAACATGTGGACGTAGATCTTCCAGTCCTTGAATGCGTCCCAGGCGTATTTGAGGTTGAATTCGTCGGCGAGGGAGTTTCGATCGTCCTTTAAGCGACGCTCAACTTCGGTTCTTTCCTCTTCTGTGAGGAACGTAGCACTAATGGCTGTTAGAGAGAGTGAAAGATCTTGCTGTTGATGAGGGGAAAGCTTACGTGCGTGGGTAATCATTGATGGCCCAGTATGCAATACATGCGACAATAAACGTTGCAATTCCTTCCAGAATGAAAATCCAGGACCATCCGCCACGTCCTGCAACACCCTCCATTTTTCCAATTCCGAATGCTAAGATACCACCAAAGGCACCGGCAGCAGTGGCTGCGGAGAAGAACAATGCCATGCGTAGACCACATTCGTGACGACGGTACCTGGTATCTTGTTGGAATCGGATTGTGGCCATAAGAGATAGGTATTATACTTACCACATGGTGATGTAGTATGTAACACCAGGGAAGAGTCCACCCTCACATGCACCCAGAAAAGCACGAACAACCATCAGCCCAGTATAATTCTTGACAAATCCCATGCAGATAGTGCAGATAGCCCAGCCACTAAAGTTACAATTAGCAAGGAGAAGGCCTGAGAGCCAGGCAAGACTTACAGCATAATAATGGTGAGCCAAAGACTTGGGCGTAGACGCTTCATCATCATATTGGATGGAACTTCGGCCGCAACATAGAAGGGAAAGAAGATGGCTAATGCATTGTTGTATTGGATTGAACCCGGGCCAACCTCTGGCATCCCCAGATATTTTTGCAGATTGAAGAGTTTTGCATTCCCAATATTCGTTCGATCGAGAAAAGAGAGGCTACACTGATCAGGGAATGCAAGGCATGAGAAGATGAGGAGCTCAGCTTACAGGTAAAGTAGTGCGAGAAAGGGAACTATGTGCCAGTCCAGTTTGCGAATGAGTGTCTTCGTCCTTGCCTCGTCGAATTGTGGTTCTAAGACGGTGCCTGGAAGAGAATCTGAAGAGGTTGAGAGATTCTCTTTATGCGCTTCTCCTAAGGACGCATCCTTCTTGTTGTCCGAGTCAATTGACTCTCTGTGTTCTTCAACGAATCCCATGATAAAAGTGCTTATGGGAGCAAAAGAGTAGACTCAAGATTCACATCTCGCTGAGTAGCGGGAGCTCGGTTCCTTATGTATACCCCAAGCATACGAGATTCCAAGCCATACTTGGCTACGAAGAACATTGTCGAGTGCCCGAAAGTGCCACGGGACCTGCAGATTACCCCAACTTTCTTGCAAAGGTAAGAAGCGATATCAAAAAGAGGCATCCATCCAACCGGGTTATTTGCCTTTCCCCTCCAGGCCCCATGCACAATCTCCACTCTCCATCAAACTTAAAGTGACAACAGTTGAACATTGAGGCCAGCCGGTGGTCAAAGCCTCTGGGGTCCCCAGAGTCAAGAGTCTTGGCCTGATATGAAGAGGTACCTTATAGGTCATAAGAGAAGCGGCGTTACTTGGCTGCCTCTCCGTTGGCGCCTCTCGCCAATAACTTCCAACGCTCTTGGAAGGAGGAGAAATCTCCTTGAGATCCCAACGGACAGATGGAACGCCACCAGCAGCCATCCGAACAGACCAGACATTCTTCTTATTTCTTGAAATTGGAATTGTCACGATCTTGCGGTGTTGATGTTCGGAAGGGTGGCCTAAAATCTGATGGACGTGCCGATCAGACCCAGCGCTGCGAGCTGGGAATTCCCCACCGCAATGCTGTCCTACATACTCCACAGATTGAGGCTCGCCGACCAGTTGAAGCAGTACCACCAATTACCACCAATCATCACCAACTCATTTGCTCAAGCAGAGCGAGGGGTGGCAGACCATAGTATATTGCCCCAGTGCAACGGTAAGAGGAACGGTAGAACGGTAGAGGCCAAAGGGGGGACAGCAGTCTTATGCCGGCCAAGACAGCCCTCCATTACCCCGGCTGGGCCCCCAAAGCCACCCCACATCTCGCAAACAACCCCGGACTCCCAACGAGATATTCCCATCGTGAAAGTCGCCATGCGGCGATGCTGCATATCCCAATTCCTATGCCGGTGCTGTAACGCCGAAGGCCGGGTAATGGGACGGTCAAGGTCCTATGTTGCGTCCCGAACATGACAGGACGACTTTGGATACGACGAACATGAGCGCGTACATGTACAGCTTACTCAGATAGATGGGAATGAATGATGGTATTGGTTTCCTGGAGCAGCCACTGGGTGCCAGTACCAAGAAACGATTGTAGATGTTGGTTTTGCCAATACTTTCCCAGGAAGATACTGGTAACGCTCTAGAGGGAGCTAGAGGTACGTATGACAGCTTCCACCCCAGGATGTCGGGTGAGCCAAATAGCGTGGAGGCTTTGGTAAGCAAGGCATGCGAGATAGTACGCCAGAGTGGGATCCAGACCGTTCGATTGCAACACGAGAGCTTCAAAATTTGTGGTTGGTTGAGGCTGGCTAGGAGCCCCTTCGACAAACGGATGCATAAAATATAGAAGAACCCAATTTGGTGGTGGTTCAGGCTTTGTCACCAAACCCTTGGCATGATTAAGCATCTTGCAGAACAGTCTTGTCCATCTATCCCACACGCAATTAGCGTGCAGAGAAAGGGTCGTTGCCAGATGATGCAAGAATCTTCCCGTGATGGAGTTTATTGGGAGGAAGCTAGTTGGGTGGACGTCCTAATTGAGGTGCGATATAGACTTTCTGGAGTGGTAAGGTTACCGAGGCTGGAAAATTGTGAGATAATTACCGTTTAGGTTTTGGATTGACCGAAGCGAAGTGTATCATTGTAGAAGTCTTTTCCGTCGGTTATCTTATTCGGAAAAATGTACTTGTTATGTGATTGGCCTCGATTCTAACCCCTTGTATCAAAACCGTTAGAACTTGGTTGATGAAGAAGTCTGAATACGAGAAGGCACATACTACAAAACTCCATATGTATACTATTGAAAAAGATATGTGGCATATACCTTGCTTAAATTTGGGTTTCAAAGGTTCTCACACGGCAATAAAACCACTTACTAATCATTCTTCATTCCGACTCGTATTAGTAATATAAGATCAAAACTCTTTTTCACAAAGCACCGCGTACTAACAGAGTCGGACCATGGTCGCAATGTTAACTACATGTTTCAGTCGAGTGTAGTACTTATACCAAGGTGTAGCTAGGTAGCTTAGATAATCACGTGACTATAACCAAGTGAAATCCCTGGATCGCTTAGGTAGTCTAATCGATCCCTATTTGCTATAAGTCTACGGATGTGTTCGACCTGTCAGGACGCCGCCTGGTCTTCACTCTTCACGTGCTAACACGTGATTTGTGACATTACGATTACAAGGGAGAAGGGGATATATATATAGGACTAGTACCTAGGGGTTAGAGAGCCCTAGAGTACTATATACTCGTTCTAATTCTATTTCTAAAAACAGAAATAAAAAGGCTAGCTAATATAAATAGTAGTATATAAATAGGGATAGTAGCGGTCGAGAAAAAAAGAGTACTAGAGCTCTAGCGCTTCCTACTCTCGGGGAGGAAATATAAAGTTATTAAAGATTCCTACCCCCCTTCGCTAGCTTCTATCGGTTATTTCTCTATTCTTACGTAATATAAAAATATCCCCTTTAATAAGAGGGTAGTGAATTTTAGGTTAATTGTATAAATAAAAAGCTATCGCTTATTTTACTCACTTAAGTTCATAACTTTATAGGAGTTAGGTTAGCTAAAGATCGAGATAACTATTACGCTAGGCTATAATAGCTATAAAGTTACTATAGAGTAAGTTACCTAGAGCCTTTTTTTTATAAGGATTCTTTTCGTTAGAGCGTAGTTAATTCATAGGGAACATATTAGTTATTACTAGTATTTTTATATTATATATATTTAGATTAAGGACTTTATTAGTAGTTCTCGAAGTATTTATTATTAGTACTCGAAACTTCTACTAATAGGTTCTAGGTTATGTTAATAGTCTTGCTACTTGGCTCGTCCTTCCTCATGATTCTCTCGGAAAAGGCGAGTTATATTTCGTATACTATCGACAATGTTTATATTCATTCAGTATTGTTTCTTCTTAGCCTAGGTTAGGGGGGCCTTCAGGACGAATCGCATCTTATCTACTAGAGAAACCATTGTATCATACTCGTGTTATACTTGCCGGACGCCCATGCTACGTTATTGTGGGTAGTATTGTCGACCAGTGCGTAAGCGACAGCCAATCTGTTGGCTTTGTGTGGTGGAAGCTGGAACTTCACGCGCGGGTCACGTAAGTCCACCGTGTTAATACCTGATGGCTTGCGGGATTCTTGTACTACCCGACGAACGGGGAGACTGTGTTGTTTAGTTAATATGTATTTACTCAAGGAGACCTAATCTATGAGTGAGTACATAGGGCTTAGATACATAGTTAAGAAACACCAGTCAGATAATAAACTTCTAATATTCATCCGTTTAGTTATAATTTCTCATTCTTTTATAATAAAAAGATTAGAAAAGTGTTTTCAGGTACAATTTACTAATGAATACTTGATTAATTTGATTCTCTTAATTCTTTTAAGTAACAATCACAACATCTAAAAGTCCAAGTCTAACTTGCTATCTCGAATTTCTCTTAACAAAATCTAGGCACCCTTTAAATCCCTAATCTCAATTGTCACCCTCTTACTCTTATACTCAAAAGCGCCTTGAATCTCTTCCAAGCTCTTCCCCTTCGTCTCCGGCATCCAAATCGCACAAGAAATAACAGTAACCAAAGCCGCGCCACCAAAGAGGAAATACACTCCGAAATCAGATTTCGCAAGGAAGATAGGAGTTGTAAAAGCCACGATCCAATTCGTGATCTATTTACGTCCAGTTAGCCACAATACAATACAAGAAACGATAGAGGGGACGACAGGAAAGAGAAGAAAGAGAAGAGCATTTACCAAATTTGCGCTCAAGGCAAGACTCGAAGCCCCCGCTCTCGTCTTTGGTGGTTGAATTTCGCTAGAGTAAACTCGGAATGCCACGGCCCATGTAGCTGCATAGGTCATGGCGAAGATATATATGAGAATTATAACGACCCATCGCGCGGCTCCATGGCCTTTGTGTACGGCGCCAGCTGCATACAACGAACCGATTATGAACATACATGTGAGTTGTATGATACCTCCAACTGTCGTTGAGGATTTTCGTCCCCATTTATCCGCGAGGAGGAAAGCTGGGATTGTCACGAGAAAAATGAGGAGTGCGGAAATTCCAGAGGCGAGGAAAGAAGCCGTGTTGGAATTGAGACCTGCGGCTGCGAAGAGAAGGGGTGCATACTGTTTTTGTTAGCTTAACTCTGATGAGGAGAGATAAAGTAGAAGTGGGGGCATACATAAAGAACTCCATCGATTCCACTTAATTGTTGCATTGCGTTCAGGAATACCCCGAGTGAAGTCTGCTTCCACACATCTCTATGGAAGGTATCCAAGATATCTCTTATCTTGACTGCCTGTGGTATTTCATCGATCTCTTTTTCATCATGCTTTCCACGATCAGCGGTCCCGATTTCCAGCTTCTCCCATGAAGCAAGTGCTTCTGGCTTCTTGCCTCGAGAACTTAGCCAGCGTGGGCTTTCTGGTAGAAGTAGTATTGTTGTCGACGCGAAGATGAATGAAATCACAGCCTGCACTGCAAAGGGCAGACGCCATGAGAATGATGAGTTTATGTTCACACTCCCGTAGCAAATGAAATACCCAGCACACAACGCGAAAGTTGTGAGGAACTGAGGAATAGATCCGAGAGTCCCTCGATAATGGGGAGGGGAAATCTCTGTAATATAGCTGAAGCGGGGATTAGTGAGAGTTACTTCAGTTACAGGAAGGACTTACACGACACTCGTGCTCATAAACAACCCTTCGCCGAGTCCCTTGATAGCCCGGCCTGCAAACAGCATTCCAAGCTTGACACTACCAGCCTCTATCGCAGCACCAATACCGAATAAAGTAGCCCCAATAGCAACAGATTTCACTCTACCCATGGAATTTGCGAGATGACCTGCAAAAAATGAAGAGGTGGCTGCAGCAACTAAAATCGTTGAGACAACTAATCCATGAAGTGTAGAAGAAAGTTCGCCAAATGTATCTGAAAATTGCGGCATTGTAGTTAAAGGCCCAATTGTACCAGTATCAAGTCTATGTGAAGTCGGTATATTAGTAACCAATCGCTGATAACTTTGAGAGAAAATCCATACCCAAAAACGACTCCGCCGAGTGACATGAGAATTGAAACCTGAACATATTTTGGGATCTTCAAATTTAAGAAAAGCATTTCGAGGTCTTTCAAATCATCTACAACAAAGCAAACAAGAAGGACTAACAGATACTTATTCGATTATATAGTGAAAGTCTTCAGGAACCACAAGGAAAGCTTCATTTTGATTTTCACCAATGTGGATTCATTGTCAGGCACTGTGGGCACTAACAATGGCAACTATAGCGGTGAACCTAAGATGAAGCAGCCAAGTCGCCACCATGAACACTCTCCAAATTCCACGTCATTGGTCGAGTTCATAAGTTGATAATCCACTTGGATGCATTTTATGCCTTGCAATGCAACCTGGGCAGGTAGACCGAGTCGGGTTGGTAGACCGAGTCGGGTTGGTAGACCGAGTCGGGTTGGTAACCTTTGCGGATTTCTAGTATGTAATTGAGGGTTGAACTGCTTTGATTTTGAAAATGAAAGACATTATTAATAATTCCCGATGGAAGAAATAACCTTTAACGCAAATGCGGAGAGTTGAAAGAAAGTTACTGGTAGCTGCCAAGATCTTGCCCCACTAGGACATGGGATCCAGAATTTTCGAATGCGATATGCACCACTGCAGCAATGTCACTCTGCACCTTGTCTAGGTATCTACGAGTAGAAGAACAGACGCGGAAATATACTAGGAATAAGTTTTATATATCGTTTATAGAAGATCTTACGGTGCTAATTAAACCATTCTTTTGTTATATCTATAGACGTACTATACCTTAATATCCTAAGCTCTCTAAGTGGACAGATTCTTGGAAAACATATATAACGTGCTATTAGTATATTACTAAAGCATAATATCGCCTCGGAAAACACACTCTTAATCAGATATCGTTGGTTGTAACTACTGAGTAATCCCGGCTTGAAATCTTGGAGGCCTATTCAACGCTATTCAACCTTTACTCCTCACATCCCAGATACCTATAAGACATGTTTCCAATTTTCAGCAATGGTTAGAGGCGATCCCAAACAGAGCAAAAGTCAACCGCGAATCCCTCTGCCAAGAGTTTCCATCATCAAGGTTTTACCATGAATCTTTCATTTCGATCCCAATACATCAAAGATGGGTCCTCATTCTTGGTGGGGACTGTCTCGTTGGAAACACGCGTAACCCATATCTGTGACTCCGTTTCCTCAGTCTTGACTTCTGGCTCAACACACTGTAAGAACCCCATAATCGCCATCCGAGGATTATAGAAATGCTCATAGTACCCCTTCCATGTCCAGTCGTCAAAAACCATCGTTCCGTCTAGAGCCAACATATGCCAGCAGAGAACGGCGTCGTGAAGAACATCGATGGCTACATGCGAACCATCTATATAAATGAAATCGAACTGCGCACCACTTGCTCGAAGATTGACCAGAGCGTCCTCGCTCTTTGCTTTCAGGACTTTGAGTTTTGTGACATTGGTGCATTTTTGGACATTATCGTAGAACCTTTCCTCAAGTGATTTTGTTCCTTGGGGGTCATGCTCCATACCACCGGAAAATGTGTCGATCACGGTCATTGTAGAATTGGGATGATTTGCAAGGTTGTCGAGAATCCATGTTGTAGAGGCTCCCTCAAAAGCGCCAATTTCTAAGATACGAAGAGGTTTGGAAATTCCTAGGTTGGTGGTGAGCTTTTCCCAGTCGGGAGTTATGAGCTCGAACCAGTTGTTTTGGAAAGTAAATCTTGAACGGTCAGACATTGAGGTAGTGAAAAGATGAACAGAGTCTCTATGTGAATTGATATTTGGAAATTGCATATCAGACATACTATCTTCAATCCTTCAAAAATGCTTTCCACTGCAAGCGTTCCGAAATCGGGTTGGCCAGCCACGAAGCAGTCGGATTTGCAAGCACTACATCATGCAATGACAACTGACCTATTAATTTGGGCGGACTTCTTCAATAGTGACCTAAAGCCATCAGATAAGATTTGGCTGACATTTGTAAAACATTGGATAGTCCTAGCCTGCAATAGTGTTTAATTTGGACTGTAAGATTATTGAGGTTTATTTTTAACATGTGAAGTGATTTGTTAACACCTCACTCTATAAAAAGGGGATGGGACCTTTAAAACAATCCCTGAATCATTAGGATTATCTTGGGGCTTTATGGTGGTTTTCGAATATCAAATTCCTCTATTCAGCATACATGGGCCGACAAACTATCGCACTTGCAGGGGTGGGCAACCTGGGTAAATATCTTTGCGAGGAACTTCTAGAAAGTTCAATATACAAGGTTGTTGTGATCTCTCGAAAGGCATGTTCTGCAATCTATTGGAATAAAAGCCAAGAAAAACTAAATTTCTGCTCCTAGGGAAGCCAATGGCTTCAAGATCATAAAGTTGAAGTATACATGAGCAATTATGACAAGACATCCGTGCGGACTATCCTCGATACCACCAATGCAAGAGCACTTATTTCTTTCATCAACTGTCCCGGAGAGGTCTATTTTGACATTCACAAATCCTTCCTCGAAGCATGCAAAGAGTCTCAAACCTGCAAGAGTTTCATACCGTCAGAATGGATAGGAAATCTTCTCGACTTCCCTCACCTACCCCGCTTCTATGGTAGATCGCATATACCATTTAGATCCCTTCTTTCGGAGTCTACAGGGGTTAAATGGACCCTTTTCAACGGAGGGTGGTTGATGGATTACTTTTTGACGACTGACAAGACTTACATGCCTGCAATACCCGACGAATTCCCAATTGATCCAAATAGTTGGCGAGCTTGTATACGAGGATCGGGTGATGAGGAGCAGGCTTTCACATCCGCCCTAGATATTGCCAAAGCTGTGATTGAGTTACTTGGGGCAACGCATTGGGTACCTCATACTGATACGTGGCAATGATAACCTGTGATACTAATATACCATAGGAACCCGTCACACATGTTGTCGGAGAATGGAACACATTCAACAACGCCGTCAAGATCATGGAAAGATTTTATGGTAAGCCTATCTCAAATCAAAATCTGACGCTTGATGAGAGGTTCTAAAGTGCGATATTTGCAGATCGTCCTTTGGAAATAACCTTTAAGACAACGGAGGAAATACAAAGAAATGTTGCAACAGGACTGGAAGATGGGGAGCTTACACGAGAGGCTGAAATTGCCCAAGTAGACGAGTGGATGATAGCTGGTGCAACAGCATGTCCTCGCGAGTTGACCTTGAAACAAAGGCAGACGTACTTTTCGACGGTCAGGTTTCATACAATTGGCGAATTTATTGAGTCGATGGCAATCTAGAACTACCAGCTATTTTGTGGAACACAGTCGTCTCAACCTGCATAGCGTTACTCGTAATTTTCAAAATCCTTCATCCAATGTGACACCACTTCTCTTAATTGTATTGTCCCTGCAATGCTTCGGCAAAGAAACGAGTCAAGTATTACATTCGCGTGTCTTGTATGAAGAAGTGGCGCCTATTCCACTGTTCTCCAACAAAGAAGTACTGCATGGCCTTTGGGTGACGAAATTTGAAATGTGGCGATATAGAGGAGCAAAGCTTTTACATATGTGGTGGCCAGTTCACTGCTTAAAAGTTCAAACTTGATTTGATCCATGATTGTGGCGTATCTAGACACTGTGTCTACAACAATGTTACCCGCGCGGTAGCATGAAAGATTCCAATAGTGTGTCGATTCGTAGAATGTAGTACTTGGTTGAGGCATCGATGTCCAAGGCACATTTGTATCTTAGACAGCTTTCTTATAGCAACAGGTATCTTATAGAACTTGACAACTCCAGCGATCCAAAAAAGAAAAGAAACAACAAACAACATCCAAGTTGGTAGACGAAATCATGGATCTCCCGACTTTGGACTTGTCACAATTTACTCATGGAAACAAACATCAGCGTCAACAACTTGCGTCCTCATTGCTCAGTGGCCTTAAAGAGCATGGATTTGTTAAGCTCATCAACCATGGTGTGCCCGAGGGTTTGGTATCTGAAATGTGGAAATTGGTATGTAACAAGAATGTCCCTACCAAATACCAATACTTGTATTAACGGCTCCGGGAATAACAGAGCAAAGCCTTCTTTGAATTAGGTCAAGATCAGAAAGCCCATATAGCACATCAACCGGGTCCGGATCCTCAACGAGGCTGGAGCCACGTGGGTGCCGAGAGTAGCTCCGGGCTTTATCGGAAGGGGTTTCTTCAATCAGGGGAGACAATCAATCTCAAAGATGCGAGAGTACGCTTTTCATGTCCCGAGAAACATTGCTATAGTTAAATGTGAAATATAGGAGCATTGGGACCAAGGACCAAAAACAGATACTCAATATCCCAACAGATGGCCAGAGAAGAGCAGCATTCCAGGGTTTCGTCAACCAATGGAGCAAGCCTTCGATGCTCTTGAAAGGGTTAGTTCAACTATCATGGAGGCACTGGAGGCTTCGCTTCATCTTCCAGCAGGAACCTTTTTGCAGAAGATTACCCGAGAAAAGAATGCAAGCGAGCTTCGGATGAACCACTACCCAGGAATTGAGGTCTCGGAAATCAGAGGTGGGAGAGTTAGTCGTATTTGGCCACACTTCGATCTTGGGGTCATTACACTTCTGTTTCAAGACTCGGTCGGTGGACTGGAATTTGAGAACCGCCAGCAAAAAGGTACATTTTGTCGAATTCAATGCGGTTCAACATCGGAAATGGTTGTGAATGTGAGCGAGACACTGCAACGATGGACAAATGATTTTCTACCTGCAGGTCTCCATCGGGTCAGCTTGCCTCCATTGCTAGAGAACTGTGAAGAGGGATTAATACCTGAAAGATATTCAATCGCGTACTTTTGCAAAGCTGACCGCGATGCTTCCGTGGGAGCATTGGAACCTTTCAAGTCTCCAAACACGAAATATAGGGATATCACTGCTCTTGAATATCAACAGCAGAGGTTGGAGTCAGCGTATTGAATCTTTGAATCGTAGATTGGAAAAGAAAAGAATTCTCCTACCTTATTCTGTACTACATCGTCGTGACTTTGTGAAGCGAAAACACTCGGTGTAAGACAGGGGTTCGCTTAGGCCCCAGCTTTCAGGCCTGGACGTATGCCAAGCTACTTGGCACACGTCCACAAGATGTCGCTCGAGCCATTTCATCTCACCTCACCAGAGAACATCACCATTTCCACATTCTCACCACATGTTGGTTAACATGGCAGTGTGACGGTCGATCGTGCGGCGAATGCCATCGAATATGGTATTTCTCATCACAAAGATACCGGCGCTCCGAGATCGCATGGCTCGATGTTGCCCAACCTCTCCCGTTGTCCCTCTGATGTGGCATCTTCACGATCACAGCACGCGTTCATCGAACCTCCAGATACACAATATCTCGGATCACCCCGCCGGATGTACGCCCCCACGATGTACCATCCATGCTTTCAATAGACTCTGTGCTGGGTGGTGCTACGATGGCGGTGTAGAGTTTCTTGTTGATGCACGATTTTGATGCCCATCACTCCACAATGCGGGATCCCAATTGCAACTTCGAATTGTTATCGTCATCCCACGACCCCTCGAAGAACTCTCACATTGGAACCCACACTGTAGAGTGGGGGCGCTCAAGGCAATGTGCTACGAATGTTGATGCAGGCGGTGCGATGCTCGTCTTCAAGCAGTACCGAATACCTGGCGGGCTCGCGCGAATCGCACCGGTCATTTATATGCAAGAATAGTAGGAGCGACCAGAGCACAACATCTCGAGGGATACGCGGTAAAGTTGTATACGAAAATAGCATTATTATCACTTTCAAGAGGTTGCAGCTTGGAGTTTGTGACCACGAAATTGTATGCCTAACGTCGCCCAAAGAGAGGTTTCGACACAGAACGACATATTACAGCACGTGTTCAACACTTCTACAACAACGGCTTCAACAATTCTTCACATTTGGTCTGAAACTCACAGAAGAGCTGAATCGCCTGGGGTCATGTTAGAAGATATGTCTGAGAGTATCTGAGATAGGGACAATGATTATTACCTCCTCAGTTTTCTTCTCTCCTTTGCCTCCTTGACTTTTTCCAAATTGGTCGCGAAACTCCTTCTCGTTATGGATGCAGGTTTTGCTATCCATATTTCCAATCTCAGTCTCTCTGCCCAAGAACAAAGAGTGGCCATTGACACTTCTCTCGGTCCACTCAACCTGTTTCAATTCCTCTAGAAGTGAAGGGGCGATAGTCAATGCGTTCACTCCAGCAAGGAGCATGACTTCCTCAATTGAAACGACGCTACATGCTTTAACGCGGGTCTCGTAGGAGTTTTCTTCATAGTATCTCTGGGCTTGAACGCAAAGCAGAAAATTGGGATCTTTGTCTTGGTATCTATACAAATCAGAAACTGGGTACAATGAGTTGCAATACACTACTCACAATTCATCAAAATGAACTCTCAGTTCATGTACAAATGGTGAAATAGATACACAGCCCACTTCACCTGCCAGTATTGCTTGTTCCATGGTGAATAGCGTAGTTGCAAGAGTCCTGATACCCATATCTTTTAATTGTCGGCATGCTTGGAGGCCTTCAAAGGTAGCGGGTACTTTGATGCAGAGTCTTGATAGGTCAAAACTTGGGTTCAACCGTTGGCAAAAGCTTGCAATTCCTTTTTCATAATAGTTGAAGTCAGCGATCCCTCTGAAATTTTCCATAGGGTGGTTTGATCACACTTTTACCGTTATCAATGATATTAGAGGTTGAATAGGAATAGGTCGGATTTGCCATGACGTGAATAGAGCCGCTGATATATGGGACGATTTCCAATGCGACGAAACACATCTTTTTACTATTAGCATAAATATTCTCATCATTTGTGGGGATCATACACACGCTCAACTCTACGCCTACCTCTACCAGAGTCACCGAAGGATATTCATGGAGAATATTCCTGGCCAAAGCAATGGATGTTTTCAGAACTGAGAGTCTTTTTGGTTTGGACAATTCGAAATAGAAATCCGCCTATGTTTGTTAGTTTTTCCGTCTATGAAAATAGACGCAGAGGGTTGTACCTGGTTGGACGTGGAGTCTACGAACGGACCAAGATTCTTTGCGACTGAATGATAATACTCGTGTCAGTCAATGAATGTTGAAAGATGAGGCTGCCGTACCTTCTATGTCAACACTGTCAAGGTCGACCTGTGAAAGGGCTCTGAGTTCTTCTAAAAGGCTCATATTTCAGGAAGTGATAGTGACGATAGTATCGATGAGTAGAGCTGGAAATCGATCTGGTACTTTTGACAGAAGGAAAGGAGAGAAGAGCGTGAGGGACTGGAAGAAATTCCCTATGAGTACACAGCGATAATGCTCACAGGTGCCACATATATCCTAGTATATGAGTGGCTTTTCGTGTCTTTAACCACCAGTGATACAAATCTCTCATGTGGTGTTGGTCAAGCGCTCTAGACTCAGATTGTGAACAAATCATTGTACACGTACAATATACACAGCCGTTCTAGTGCGTTTCTTCTCGGTCCCCTGTTCCATAGTCTACACACACTTGCCCTTACTATTGCACGATAACATGACAATACGTCGAGTAGGACCTGGAAGCACCATCTCAGATCTTGTTCCGTCACAAACCATGAGATATAGAGACGAAACAAGAGAAACTGGAGTGTCTGGAATATATACGAGCCATTACTTTAACCCAAATCTTCACCGGTCCTCTGATCTTTGCGCAATGCATTCTTGCTATTTTCCAGCAACTCGAAGAGACAAAGAGCCAAAATTGGATTTTCAAAGCGTTACTGTGAAATTTAAGAACACACAGCTTAACGATTTGGTCATTTCCAGAGAAAGCTTTATCAAGGCATCATGGGCGGCTCTTTTGTACACCTATGTGAGAAATGAGTTAGTTCTGTTTGCGGTGCTTGGAGAGGTGGAGGCCAATGACGTTCCCCTCTATCAGGTTTCAAATTCCCCGCCAAATATATCTGTCCTGCGATATCTTCTCGACCCATCTCAAACCCTCGATGATATACGGCCCCAAGCGGAGTTTACCTCCACCTCTCGCGAATTACTGGAGTCTAAAGTCAACTCGGCTGTGTGTTTCGCGGGAAATGGCGCACGCCAATTCCAGCCAGAAGGTTTTGATGCGTCATTTGAAGCATTGATTTCATATGGTGTTCCAGTAAGCTTTCCACAAAATTTGTCTGAATTGGGTATACTGATGAGGTCCAAGTGTGATTTGATTTTGGAAGTGCAAGGACTCCAGCCGTTCGTCAGGGTTAATCTTAAGTATCGAAGCACTACCGTGTCAAGACTGTATGCGCAGTCGATAGCGGAGTCACTTCAGAAGACTTTTGAAGCAGTTTTGTCGGGACAATCAATGAATTCCCTCAGGGAATCAATTCTGAACAAACAAAAAGAGACCATGATTCGTTGGAACCCACAAGAGCCATATCACCATCTTACTTGTATGCATCACCTGGTAGAAGCTACCTGTCGCATTTCACCTTTCGCAGAAGCAGTGTGTGCTTGGGATGGATCGCTGAACTACTCACAACTGGATGTGCTTTCTTCGATTGCTGCTAGGAAATTGGCAGCAGCAGGAGTTAAGCAAAGAATGCACGTACCGTTTGCTTATGAGAAGAGCCTTTGGGCAGTCGTTGTGACGCTGGGGATTCTAAAAGCCGGTGCATCGTTCGTACCTTTAGATCCTCAGCATCCAGATTCTCGAATCAAAGAAATTTTGGCTACAACGGAGGCAAAACTCATAGTCACCTCGGATCTTTTTGCGGCAAAATATAGGGCCCTCGCAAACGTCGTAGTGATATCCGCAAAGACCATGACCATTCCATCAGCCGAAGAATCACACAGCCCTTTCTTCTCAGTGACAGTCAGACCAGAAGACCCCATTTTTGTGCTTTTCACGTCTGGATCAACAGGCAAGCCCAAAGGGATGGTCTTGACCCATGGTGCTATATGCACCCATGCAGTGAGCCATGGGGAAATTATGAATTACCGGGGACGGCGAGTTTTACAGTTCGCTGCTCATGTCTTCGATGTCGCAATCATGGATATTTTCACGACCCTGATATTTGGTGGTTGCGTTTGTATCCCATCTGAAGTATGTTCAAATTTCTCTTCTTGTGGCAGTGGATGTCCCGTCTTCATTTCAATCTTTTCCGAAATAATTGAGGTCATATACAAGAGCTCTACAACAATTATTTTGATTAATGCAGAGTTTTGGAGTTATTGTTTCAATTATCCTAGAAGTTCAGGTCAACGAAAGTTAACACTACCGCATTCCTACAACGTGTGACCATATGCTATAATATAATGCTAACCATGAGCTTCGTGTGTCAAGGAAGAGAGGAGAGGCGCCATCATTCGCGCAATTAACAACCTTAAAGCAAACCATGCAATTTTGACACCATCATTTGCAAAGCTCATCAAGCCATGTGAGGTACCCAAACTGACAACTCTGGCCATCGGTGGCGAGGCGCTCCCAGAGGAAAGTCTCCGAGAGTGGCTCAAAAGCATCTCTGTCATTCAAATTTACGGCCCGGCAGAAGTTGGAATTTGTCTATCAATGAATATGAGCTCTGATACGAAGACCGAAACTGTGGGATATCCGCTTCCAAATTGTTCATGTTGGCTTGTTCACCCCGAAGATCCTGATGTCCTTGTTCCGATTGGGGCTGTTGGTGAGCTCCTGGTGTCATCACCAAGTTTGGCAATGGGTTATCTGAAGAATGAATCGAAAACACGCGCTTCTTTTATCAATCCACCTGCATGGGCAAACGGCATTTTCCAGAAAGATACACGCTTTTTCAGAACAGGAGATCTTTTGCGTTACAATACTCACCTCTTTGATGGCTCTTATGATTTTGTGGGGAGGAAGGATTCCCAAATCAAACTCCGAGGTCAACTAATTGAGCCAGCTGAGGTGGAGTTTCATCTGTCCAGCCTTCCAGGCGTGGCGGTTTGTATGGTGGCTCGTCCCACCGAAGGATGTTTTTCTGGAAAACTAGTCGCAATTGTGGAGATAAAGAGCCCTTTCTCTTCGCAAGTTAGGAATGAGCCAATTACAATTGCCGAAACTCAATATTTGCACCTTCATGCTGTACAAGAACACATCTCTAGGCTGCTACCGTCCTACATGATTCCAAACGTATGCCTCGTCATCAAAAGAATGCCATTTGTTCCGTCCCTGAAAATAGATCGACGACGTGTGGAAGCATGGCTTATGGACATGAAAACAGATCCCTTGGAATCTTCAGCTACTACTTCCAAAGTCGCAGGTCTTGATCTCTTGAATAAGTCCGAATCTACTGCAAACAAATTAAGCCTGAAGATTGCAGAAATTGTAGCTGCCAGCGATACACCCTTGCGAGCTCGCCTGGAGAATCACAACTTCCTTTTGCAGTCAGTTGGCATCGACTCTATACAGATGACTTCGCTATCCATATATCTGCAACGTACCTTTGGCTCCAAAATTCTTCTTAATCGACTGATAGACCACAACATGTCCGTCAGACGACTAGCTAGTTTGGTGGATAGCCACGAAGCAATTTTCGGTCGCGGAACGCAATCTACATTCAATGTGTTCTTGGAGGCTGAAAATATTCATAGAGGGCTCTTACAGGTTATCGAAGATGCTCAGTTGAATTCAATTGATGGCCAAAATATTTGCGAGCTTCCAACCTTGAAGAACGTTTTTTTGACAGGTGCTTCGGGGTACCTAGGGTCCTCGATATTGAAACAACTGATGGAAAAGGATCATATTACAGTGTGTGCTTTGGTCCGATGTTCTGATGATGTCGCTGGGCTCGAACCATTGCAAGTCCCTGCTCAAAAGGCTGGTTGGTGGAAGGATGAATACAAATCACGGATAAAGTAAGACTCTTTTTTCAACTCGGCTATTCTCAATATATAGTCTATCACTACCACTCAGAATGCTGACTGTTTACTCAGAATTTGGAAAGGAGATCTTGACCACCCAGACTTCTGTCTTGATCCAACTCATTGGAATCAGCTGCGAGGAAAATCTGAAGACCCCAAATCTCATGTTCATGCTATTATCCACAATGGTGCCAAGGTTCACTATACTACTTCCTATGAAACATTAAAACCAACCAATGTCTGTCCCACAGCCACTCTCCTCGAAACTACCGCGCTATCTGCAAACATACTAAGCTTTAGCTTTGTCTCCGGAGGCCAGCTGCCAGATGATCTTTCACTTGAACACAACGGCGAGGTCGATGTTGAAATGAATGGTTACGCTCAAACTAAATCGGTGTCTGAGCTGCTGGTCAGAAAATGTTCCGCTAACGATCTCTTCCACGGGAAGAAACTACATATTGTCAAGCCAGGCTACATAATTGGTTCGCCGAGGAATGGAATGGCAAACACAACCGACTACATCTGGCGGCTGATTGCTAGCTGTGTTGAACTTCGTATCTTTAACAAAGACACCGCGTCTCAGTGGTTATTTGTGGCGGATGTGGAACACGTTGCTGGCCTTGTGGTTCACAGTATGGATAAGAGGGCCAACGAAATACTGAGAGTCTTGGATGGCTTGACCTTCTCGGATATCTGGGGTATTCTCCAGAATGACTTTGGTTATGTGATGAAAGGAGTTAGTGGAGATGTGTGGCTGAGGCGCATAAGAAGTGAGATTAGGGGCTGTGGAGAAGGACATAGACTTTTCCCTTTACTTCATATGCTTGAGAGTGATATTGGGAGGACTGATCTGGGTGGTTCAACCAGCGAATTGGCGGGGAACAAACAGAGAGTTATGGAAGCTATCAGGAGTAACGTGCGATATCTGATAGAAGTTGGGGTTTTGCCAAAACGACATTGAGGTTATTGAGGCTGGGGTTGAAATATTGATTTAACAGATCTTTTGATTCTCTATACTTTCTGGCAAAATTTGAGAGTCCGGTATTCGAATTGTTGGAGAGTTTCTAATAAATATCTCTTGCGCTGAACATATGTAAGCCAATCTCAATATCGTCTACATGAAAGACGAGGCTCTCAGAGCAAGCCACGCCATAAGACAAAACAACTCATCAAATCCAGAACAAAAAGAATACCATTGCCCAATAAAGCTGTGCCATCCTCCTTTCCTCCTTTCACCTTCTTCGCCAAAAGAGCCCTTCGATTTGGCATTGTCGGTGGAAACATCATGTACCACACTGGAACCGAAGCTTTGGCAATGCAATCGAAAGTTTTAATGATAACGCCTGGGAATACGAAGAAAACTGCTGACGGGGATGTTCGCTCTAAAATGCAATAGGTATTGAGTCGCAAAGACAGTGGCATGGAAGCGTAAATGCAGTACATGAGACATAGAAGAATGCTTGGACTGGATAAGCGACGCAATACTGTTGCTCGAGAAACAGAAGAACGTTCGTTCATCCTAGATCTGATTGCCCCACTGACATCGAAAGTCATTGAAGTTAGCGATGAAGGCAGGAGAGATAAGAAGCATCGATATGCGGTATCTTCAAAGTTAGTCAGCGAGGAAGATATCTTGAGAACGGCTACCAGAGAAACTTACAAGGTGAGCACCAAATTTCATTGCTTTGGTAGTTCCATACCCGACGTATACCTACATGGCCACACAGAAGATAATTATTTATCTTTTGAATGATGTAGTATGCCGTAAACATACGGTAGAGAACGCTTGTATTGATATTACTCTGTAATTTCTCAAACTGATCATTGCTATCAGGAAACAGGGCCAACGGAAGCACGAGCAAGGAGAGGACCGTGGTGATTGGCGAATAATCTCGAAGAGCCGTCAGGATAGCCACAACTCTCTGGAGGGCGTCTAACTTTGATGTAAGCTTCGATCCTGGGAGATAAAAGCCAAAGCTTTTGTGTACTGCGGTCCCGCTATCTGTCTGTTCAAGAACTTCATCAGCCATGGTTCATCGGCGGTAGACAAGAATCGGTTGGAAACCGAAATACCCATCTCATTCTCTGTTTAATATGCGCCCTTATAGAATTCGGAGCAAGTCCAACCTGCAGCTTTTCGGGAATAAAAGCAACTATCCAACCATGATCGCTCAATTTCGTTGAGCACATGTAGTCCTCGCCCGATTCGACTTGGGGCCAACCTCCAATGTCATCGAGGGCTTGTCTCCTAACTACGTATCCCGTCCCTGTGCACATAGCGGAATCAAGGCGGTCATTCAGGGGTTCGTATAAGCTGAACCATAGGTCAAATTCAGCTTTGTTACCGAATGGATCGCCAATAGGTGCATTGTAATAATCCTTTCCAGATGTTAGCAAGGTATTTGGTATATTTCGTAGGAATGGTTCTCGTCTACCTGAGGCGGTGCAACCAAAGCCACCTTATCATCAAGCATCAGATGTGGTATAATCTTCCGAAGCCAATCTGTCTGAGGGATCATATCTGCATCAAGCGAAGCAATATACTCTGATCCAGATCTGGCATTGCTTTCTTCAATACCAAATTGTATATTTCCAGCTTTGAAGTAAGATTTTTGCCCTATGCCAACCTTTCTGGAAAGATATATCAAATCTGGAACAGAGCTTGCTTCCTTGTCTTTATTGAGTCGGTCGATTTCTTTCCGCAGATTTTCGTCATGACCATCATCCAACACAAATATCTTGAATTGAGATTTGGGATAATTCTGATTTTTCGCAGCACATATTGTATCAAGGATAACTTCCATCGGCTCTCCACAGCATGTGATGAAAACGTCAATCGAGGGAGCCTCCCCTTCACTGAGTTCGTACCTGGACCGGGGTTGGGAGTTATAAGCGTAAACCAGGGTGAAGATCAAATTCACTGCGAGAATCATCTCCGGGAAACTCAAGAAAAACTCGCAGGCCAGAGCAATCCATATCTTGAAAGTCATGTGCGAGCCTTTCCCAGATGCTTTAGCAGCAATGTATAACTGCAGTACTTCATAAGAGAACCATAATATCATTGTAAGAATGCTAGAAAACAACAACACATTTCCATAACGCTCGAATGACAAAGGCTCAGCTGAAGATTTCTTGATTTTGGCCCCGTCACGGTAAACATTGAGCGAGTCGACAAGTGGCATCTTTCTTTCTCGTCTGGTGGTAAAAGGAGCCGTTCAAAGGAAAAAATAACAGCAAGGAGAATAACGTATTCGAATATAATCCAAAGATCAGAAGGATTGTGCTGGTGATACGTTGTACTGCGGGTTCACTGGTGTATCCACATTTGTACTTATATACCAAACAGCATTGAGCTGTTGTGTTTTACACATACATGCTATTTCAACGATTACACAAGATGTAGTGATAGGAGAATTTTACTGACACGATATAATTACACAAGGTCAGGGATTCTCTGTCGTACAGGTACTCAAATCAGTTTTCGAAAAATAGGAAAAGGAAACACGGAAGTCTGTCTAATCAAGGATGGGATGCATTGGTTATTGGAAAGGTCATCTCAGTCAGTTGGTCACGTGCGACGAAGGGAATTCCGGACGTGCTGCGGAACAGTACTCCGTAGAGGCCACCGTGAACATAATGGTATCTTATTCACAAATCTTTACCTATCTCTGTCGCATACTACGAATCAATAAATTCATTCCCAGTCACGTGCCAGTCCAAGTTAAAAAAGATATGTCACGTGAGTTTGCCGATATTTCTGCCAGGTCATGGAGCAATGAAGTTCAGATCCAGCAAGCGATGGCAGTTTCCAACGTCGGGACTAAACTCATATTTTCCCCCCCGTCCTCACATTCACTCTCCACATTCCATTGCTTATATTACACTTCAGACGGGTAAGCAGATGGATCATTTTTATAAATTATACGATACCATCTCGGGTGGAAGCGAGCCTGGGATCGGCTGGGTGCATTTCCTTTTTGCAAAAGCTTGATTGAAGTTCGGTACCTGCCCCACGTTAACGTTACAGTATCTCGTGGAATTGATGTGGATATCTTACCTTGAACCCTCAAATATTCTTATCGTCAAAGCTTTTCTCAGATGACCGTTGGAATTATTCTTTGCCAGTTCGGTACTGGTGGCAAACTTGACGATACATATGCAAGAACACGTTGACACACACCTTTTCGTGGCCAATACACACATAGCGGATTGATCGGTGTACCTTTCGTACGACGGCTGAACTGTTGATCTACTTCGGGTGCAGATCTTATCAATCTACTCTAGGTAGGTATGTGCCAAGGTCCCATATCTCCACCTTCTATTCTTGGCTCCAAAAAGCCAATTGACACACCCCAAAGAAAACACCAATTCATATTGGACAACAAGAATATCGCACACAGCTCTCTTATCTGGTATTTATTTCGCTCTGTGTCATCAGGTTAATCACAAAGAGACCTGCAGTAGCCACGCAATTGGGCTTCGGTGCAAATTTTCAAATTATACATACTCTTCCCTTTAAGTTATCCATAGGCAGAATATTTTCCTCATGCAGGTTGACCACTGAAGAGACAATATTTTCCGGCCCATGGCTGTAGAATATACAGGCACTGAGACTTGCGAAAGGCAATTTTGGTACGATTGTCCGGTGCGTTTTCATCCTGTCATAAAAGTCGTGTTTCATTTTGTTTCCTAAGCCAAGCAGTCTTGCTAGATTCGTCAATTTCTTTCGCCAAACTGCCGCAGAGAAAGAATGATTTAATCGAGTACAATTTGAGCAAGCCTGCGTGGCATTTATAACCTGGTCAAACCCCCATTACCAGATTCCTATTTCTCAATGGTCCTCCCCATCTTTCACTCAATTGACCAATCGTTATCTGCCACAATGAACTATTGGATATCATTATCTCGGGCCCTAGACCCCGCGGGGATTTTGGGGCTTAGTTATCAAAGAACGTGTAAGAGTGGTGTTTTGATAAGCAAGTGTTTTCCTTGGGTATATAGGCGAGCGTTGGAATGCGAGTACTTGGAATGTGTTTCTGAGCTTCAAAACTTTACCTCCTATACATTTATTGTAAACACCCCTATCACAAGAGGATTCGCCATTATCTCGTTCTAGATATGCATCTCTTTTGCGTTGCTGGCAGTCTTGCAGGTCTGCTATCTGCAATTCATGCTTCTCCGTCGAAACAATCCGATCACATTCGGTTTCATCTTCCAAAAAGAGCAGTCAAGCTTGACTCCCTGCACAATATCCATATTGAGTATCTCACCTCGGACTTTCAGGGTGATCTTCAAATGCACTATGGAGATTGTAAATCTACCGATGTTGATAGCATTGCCAATTTCGTCGGACGCACAGAAATTCGCCCTGAGTCACGACCTGAGCGTTTCGTTTGGATTGTTCCTGCAAATGCTATGGATGGTGGGTGTCTTCATGCAATTTCTGGCCGGGAATTAGTGGGGAAATCGGACCCAATCACCATACAGAAAGCTTCCTTCAAAAAACGTGAATCAATAGCGAATGTAGCTGATACTTCTGGCCCTTGGTCTGTAAATCATTCCACAGCTGAATCTGAGCCTCTTTCTGATCTCTCACAGGTTTGAGGGGGTTGCTTACATGAAATCAAAAACCAACGATGACGCATTTGTTGCGGCGGAAAAAAACAAGAGTAAGTCTTCTACTATTAAGTCAACCTCAAGTTGGAGCTGAGATCTTCCTGCAGCAATTGCAATTATCGGCGGTGGGATGGCTGGTTTAATGACTAGTCTTCTTTTGCAATCCGTGGGAATTGAGAACTGGGAAATCATGGAGTCAAGCCAACGTGTCGGAGGGTAAGCTTACTTTTCCACTTGGTCTTGATGAAATGGATTGCTGATGTCTTCAGACGCATCCGCACAAAATATCTTAATGGTACTAAACCGGCGGATTACCAATATCAGGAGATGGGACCAATGAGATGTGCGTAATTTTCAGGAAGCCAAAATGGTGCGTTACTAATTGTTTAAAAGTCCCTGTCAGCGTCACTTACCCGGAAACAAATGATACATTAGAGATTCGAGACCATCAAATGGTCTTTCAACTAGGCGAGAAGCTTAATGAGTTGAATGGAAACGACTCTGAGCTAGCTGTAAACTTTATTCCCTGGCTGCAACACTCAAAAAAGTACTTAAAGTCTCACTTTCCAGGAATCTTTGGGCTAACAGAGAGTTCAGCCTTCCAACAGATTCGCATGGTGGCCGTCTCCCAGATGGAACCATTCCAAGTTCAGAGCAAATCGCAGCTAACTCCACCTTACGAGGTAAATCACAAACTTCAGCAAACGCAACTGAAGAAGCAATTGCTTCCGCTTCCCTGAAAGGATTTCGAGGCATGGATGTAGAGTATTTGAGAGCAATGGGTTTGAACATATATAAAGCACACAAAAAGGCGGAAGAGAAGGGCTTATTTGATTTCTCAATGGCCGGTTATCTCCGCTATGTGCAACAGTAAGTCCCTCTTAGGCCTTTATGGACATATCTGATCTTAACCAAGTATCTCTCTCAATGTCACAGACTTCTTGTCAAATGCTGATCCAACACACCTGTGGGATTATGACACTCTCTACTTTTCTGCGTGAGTAATATCACTTAAATTTAATGCAATATTCTAACATGTAACAGTACTACGTGGAAAACTATTGACAAGGGTCTCGAGTCACTCCCAAAGGCTTTTATGCCCCTTATCCAAAACAGAACAACATTCGGACGGTTTGTTTCCGGCCTTGAGTTCAAAAAAGATTCACGGAAAATTGCCGTTAATTGGCGAGATGCGAACCATGAATTGGATATGATACCAGAGAGCAAAGACTTCGATTACGCCATAGTTGCAGCCCCGTTCTCCAAAGTCAGAACCTGGAAGTTGCCTCGTAAGTTCAGTGCATCCTAAAAGTTTTGACAAAACTAATTGTTATCAGCATACTCTTCGCTTCTGTCTCGTGCGATCTCAAGAATGAAGTATCAGTCGTCATGCAAAATAGCACTGCATTACAAGACTCGCTTCTGGGAGCACCTCGCCAATCCTATTTTCGGTGGTTGTGGTTCAACAGACATCGCTGGACAAGGTTCAGTCTGTTATCCATCTTACAAAATCAACTCAACCGGCCCAGGCGTGATACTGGGCTCATATGCCTCAGGAACAATCTGCGATTCTGTTGAAACTCTCAGCACTACTAACCACGTCGCCTTAATCCAAAGAGCTATGGTCGAAATTCACGGTCCAATCGCCGCCGAACAATGGACCGGGAATTTCGAGCGCCAACTCTGGGGTAAAGACGAGCATCAAGCTGGGGCTTGGGCCAGTCCAATTGTTGGCCAGCAAGACCTGTATTTACCAGCATATTATCAGACAGAATTCAACACTATATTCATTGGGGAGCACACAAGTTATACTCACGCCTGGGTCTTTTCTGCTTTGGATAGTGCCGTTCGAGGTACTACACAGCTCTTGCTAGACATTGGGTTGGTCGATGAAGCGAAGGAGGTTGTGGAGACTTGGATGGGGAGATGGATTACTTTATGATCGCCTTTTCTAGATTATATTCATACTAATAGTTTCATGTACATAAATAATAAAACATGTATCTTAAATTCTTAACTGTCAAGTCGCATCCAAAAATCAACGTTCATAGCCTCACTCACAATATTCGAGGATATCTCAATAATTTACGACTGATCTGCTTTATATCATACAAAAAGAACCCGCACGTCTCTAGTTTCTCTTGGTATCAGCGCCAGGAATCTTCTTCTAACGGTCAGGAACGTCTCTCGATAATCCCACCGCAATCTTTTGATAAAGGCGTTCATGGTCGGGAAATCGCTTTCAACTTCAGTGTTTATTGATAGTCTGTGAAGCTTTATTGTGAGAGGCCAGACCTCGAATAGCTTAAAGGTGTGGTTTCGAATATTCAATTAAGAAGTGCGTGAAGACTACATACATGCAATCTCTTCCTCTATATATAGAGAGGAAGAGTTTCTGGAGTCTTCCAAGAAACTGTTTGACAAATACGTGACGTCAAAAGAATAGAGTAGAAAAGGAGAAACCAATTTAGCAGTGGAGCAATGGCCAATGCTGAGCGGGGACTTTGGTCAGTGCTTAGCGAGGGCATGGCCCGAGCCTCCATCATGGGTTCCAACCCTCACATTTATCAGTACATGTTTTGTTCCATTCCGTGTTACTTTTGCTCAACATTTGCTGGCGTAGTATTACAATACACATATCTAGTGTCTTTAAACCATGGCCATTCTATAGCATCGTAAGACTCGGTTCTCAATGCTATCGTGCGCATTATATGCTTCTCTCCCATTTTCTGCAGATGCATCATATATCTCGAGAAGTTATTCTCATATATTTATTCGCTTCTTATCCGTATTTTTATCTTCTATTGGTTCTCTCTGTTACCATTCCATCAGAGTCTATATCGCTCTTTTGCTCTTCATTACCACAACAGACAGCTCTGCTCCTTGATTAATATTAGGAGGCTCACAACGCGCGATCAAATTTTGCAAAGAACGGTTTTGCCACCTCTCACAAACCTAGCCCCGCAGAGTATGAAGAATCCAAGTAGCATAGATGAAGCGGCGAAGACTTGTGCATGTACATAGCGGCCATTGTCGCTGGTAATCAATACACCCGTGATTGGAGGGCCTGTCAACACAGCGAAACTGACAATTGTCTAAGGAGGTCAGTTGTCTATTTTCTGTGAAAAGTATGGGCCCACTTACAAACATCATTCCCATCCTGACTCCAGCCTTCTTCGAGTCTTTATCCGCTGTCAAGCTACCCAAGACGACTGGAAACATTCCTTGAACGGCATTTCCTACGATACCATAGATGACAGTCCAGGCATAAAAGCCTCCTCGTGATTTGACACCAATCATCGCATAAGAACATATAGATGAGGCGATGGTAACTAGAAGGAGAACGTTCATAGGGCCAGCATATTGGTTTGCCACAAATGCAGGTAAAGTACGACCAATGATACCAACACCATTCAGAACCAGTAGCAGGTTGATTGATTCCTTCTCGGGTATGTTGATGATTGCAACACCGAAAGAGCCCAGGTAGAATGAGGCAAAATAAATACCCCAGAAAACGAAAAACATTGAAATTGCGAACAAGGCGTAAGGTAGCTCCGTAAAAGCATTGAGCTCGAGAATTGGACCCGTTTCCCGAGGCGGCAATCTTGGTCTGGCTAGAATATTACAGATCACCAAACAGGCTAAAGCAACGAAGCCCATAGCGCGCATGGTCCATCCATAACCAACTGAGGGGATCAGTTGTTGAACCATTGCCGGAAAGATCAATCCACCCGTGGCACCACCACAAGCACAAATACCTATCGCAATAGGTTTCTTCTTGGAGAAATACGTTGATGCTACTGCCAACATTGGACAGAAAAGAAATCCGTTACCGACACCGCAGCAAACTCCCTGAGCGAGGAATATTTGCCAGTACTGGGTTGATATAGATGCCATAAACAAGCCGAGAACACTGAACACGCTTCCAGTTACTGCCTCAAATTAGCGACCTATCATTCTTGGAGAGGGGAAAGGCATTGAGGTATTATTTAAACGCTGAGTCCTAACCTCTAGTTCAGGCGACGTGGAACACATGTAAGAACAGAAGAAACTTTACTCACTGAAGACTGAACGAAAATAGCCTGCATCGGTAAGACGACCTGTGAATGTACCCAATGACCACGTCAAAAAGATTTGGATGGTTCCGATCCATGAAACATCCGATTCAGAGCGACCAAGGAAGTCAACGTAGTAAGTTTGAAAGACTCCAAATGCGTTCATGAAACCCCTACACCAAGTTAACAAGATTTCATCGTTTGTTTGCAGAGTAAGATGTGTTGGCGCTCTCGTGGAAACCAACTGAGAAGCTAAGAGCAGACGGACTAACCAGGTGATCAAAACTATCAAATGTCCTGCCAGGACCTGCTTCCATGCTGTCAATCCCCCATCTGGAGGAATACTTGGATCTTTACCATCGGGAACCGTCGCATGTCTTGATAATGCTGTAAGACTACCTTCTTTGGGGGTTGCCTCCTGAGAGTCAATTACAACGTCTGGACTTGCTTCAAAATCCCCTTTCTCGGTCATGCTGGTGTGATCGGCTTGTATCATTTGGTGACCGAGATGGCCTTCCTTTTTGAGCAAATCAAGCAAACAGATGAATCTACCGTAACAAATCAGCAATCTTGGACCTGGCACAATAATAAGTCACCCAACCTACTTGTATCTTGAATCGCACTCCTGTTGATATCATTCGCGGTTATAAATGAGAATATGGAATTGCTGTGAAGGAGAAGAAGAGAAGCACGCAGACGAAGAAATAGAAGAGGCTGACTCGAAAATCTTTTTTTGTCTCCTTTCCCGTCGGAGACCTTCGGTGGCATACAATGAGCATTTTGGTTTATTTTACACCAGAGGAAGCTTTAATTGGTTCGTGGATTAGGCCGTCGACGGGCAAGAGATAGGAAGTGGACACATCGAGTTGTCTCCTGTCATACGAATGGTTGGGAATAGGTAAGCTCCTTTACAGCGCCTCATTGGCGCGTTTCGCGCAGTTCAAATCCCGAGTTCAGACACCGAAAGATCTTTCCAACTGTTCCCTGAGCTATCTAGTACGTACGGCTACACTACCTGAACCTACAAGATGTAGACAATTCTTAATTTTGCATTCTTTCGTTCCCACCATACGCTATTTTGCGCCAGTCAGACAACAGAAATTCACACTTCGTGGCTTCAGATCCAGATAATACAATTCCTGAGATGTTACGATCACCTATAAAACGAGCGCATGTGCCACCCTAGCTGTGACTCTCGTTGACCCCTGGCATCCAATCTCCGATGGAAAACATTCAACGATCCATTCTTTCGGGGATACTATGAAGGCATGGGAATCAGGTTGAAACAACGAGGAAGGAGGTAGCAAGTACTTCGTAGCACTTTTTGTATACAGAAAGAGGCGCATTGCATGTATTCTCCATTTAATTGCCTCAAAAAATTATCTTACTATCTCGTGTACCTCTCTCATCGCAAATTGAGTTCCCGAATCATAGAGAGGCAAAACAAACTGCTAAATGTGTCATACCGCTGCTAGAGGGAGAGATTTTCTCCTGCATTTCAAGGTGGATGCTTTTGATCCACCACCCCCATTTTTGTCTAGGCCTTTCCAGGTTTTGAGGCGAGGTGAAGATCCACTGTGTAATGATGCGATTGAACGCATCTGGACCCACTTCCCGAGAGACTGGGTCTGAAAAGGTTCCGGTTTTTACCCACACTTGAGTGCACGATGAAAATATGTACAGTTGTATACGGGGGGAAGCAATGGTAGTGCGGAGTACCTGCCTTAAAGTAACTTGGCAAAGAAGGGCTCGTAGAGTAGTTGGGGTGATCCGTTGGAACGGCGTATACGAGGTATTCGCGTATCGGACGTCTAATATGCGTATTAGACGATACTTTGATTATTTGATTAATTCCGCGTATAAATACGCCGAATGGCTTTGATATTGTATATACGTACAGGGGTACAAAACACAAAAAGATAAGGACATTCAAACCCTAAGCTACTTTGGACCCACCTTTTTAGGTCTCCTAGCACCTTTTCGAGCACTACTACGCACTCCCTTTTTTTAACCACTACCCTCTGAACTACCTTTTTACCCTACAGTCTAGAAAGTAAAAGCAAAGGAGGGACTCGAATTCTTATACTCCCAAAGGTTGTACTAGTTTACCTACTAAAAAGTTGGTTGTGCTATGTCCCCAGCCCCTTAATCACTCCCTAGCCACTCCCAACCTTTACAGTACTTAGCGAGTTACTAAAAAATCTGACTCCCAGGCTCTCGAGCACTAAAAAATGGCCTTACAGTAGCATTATGTACGCATAGTACAGTTTCTGCATATACCAGACATTCCTAGGCTTTAGATACATTTCTTTACCCCTTAATTATATAGGATAAAGGGGGTGGATAAGCAGCTACAGCGATACAAGCGCTGAGGTTAGTCCAATAAATTAAAACAACCTAGGAGTACAGGTCGATTTGATTAAATTAGCTCTAAATACGCTCGCAAAACTTGAAATCTAATACGCATATTAGACGTCTGATACGTGGAACAGACGTCCGATACGCGAATACCTCGTATACGCTGGCCCAATGGATCAGGGGCTACCCAAGAATGATACCATCTTGTTTTCAAAGAACTTCGGGAATTTTGCAATAAGACTCGAAGATGGATTCTACGTAATAAGGAGAAAGCAGGGGTATCTTCTCTGCTCGAGGTGGAAAGCAAATTGGATACGAAAACAGCAGACTTGGATAATTACGATCCTCAATGAATAGAGGAATAAGTTCACACAAACAAGGACACTCAAGCCATAACAGTGCTAGCAGTAAGCTGTCAGGTATCACAGTTGAATCTATGATTGATACAAATTGGATTTATGGTGTAAGGCTTACCATCGCGCCGATGCGTTCAAACAGAAGCGATAGTGAAATCACTTATTACGCTCATGATTTCATCAAACTTCTACCTGATCAACACGAAAGTAACAGAACTGTTATTCAGAAACCAAGGTACCAAAACTCCTCGCGAAGCTCTTTTTTCAAGATGGCATAAATTGCAGTCTGAGTAAAACCTTGCTCAAATGAAGGATATTTTGCTATATTGGCTACAAGAAGAGGGAAGACAGTGTGAAAGTTACAGAATACGCTATTTCCTAAGAAGTTATTCCCTCCCTCGTTACCACCCTCTTCTCCTCCTCCATCATACCGGTCAGAAATTGTCCCTTCGCATCCAAAGTATCCGGGCTTCTGAACACGTCAAACTTGAAATCATGCCATTCCTTAACCGTCCATCTTTTCCCGGTAGAGTCGTTAAAACTGGCGTCATCATTTGGACGGAAGAAATACGCAATGCTATACCGGTCTTCTTCTTGCATCTCTTTTAGCGGAATAACGCGATGGACAATACTAGATAACTCGTCTCCGGATCTGAATCGTAAATAATCACCGACATTGACAATTGCGTGGCCTGGCTTAGGCGCGAGGAACTCCCAGCGTTTTGATTCAGGAGAGAGAAACTGGAGGCCCCACTGTTCGACGAGCAAGAAGGTGAGTGAGCTAACATCGGTGTGCTTAAGGTGGCCCACGTTGCTAGATGATGTGACCTCGTCGTGTTTTGGATAATGAAGAAGGACAAGTGTCGAGAGGGAGGGCTCTAGATCGGCATGGTCAACCTCGAAGCGTGAGGAGCCTTTGAGGCCGAGCTGAGTTGAAAGACGAGAGAGAACCATAAGAGTGATCGTGTTGGCTTCCTTTATCCAAGAGAAAAAGTAGTCTGATTCAGACCGAATTGAGGTGGTCAGGTCGCTTGAGCCTTTGAGGAACTCTCGACGGGAGAACTGTTAAAAAGACAACTTAGTTCGAAGATGTTAGAGATCCGAAGAATTAGAGCATACCTTGAGCGTTTCGTAGCCATCTTTGGAGTTTGGCTTCGAGCCTGCTTCAGTCCCAACAGGGATGTAACTGTTGAAGTTAGTAATTTATCTTCAAGACCTTTTGAGCCTTGAAGATTACTTTACCCGTAGTTGTCACTTCCTCGAGCATCCTGCATTTTAACTTCAAGAGATTGATCGAAATAATGCTTCATTCTCGCTAGCATACCTTCCCATAGCTTGCAAAGCTCTGGGTCACTGGTCAAATCGAGATAGAAGAACCCTTGGTTTCGGCAAGCACCGAGCAACTTCTTGCTCTCTGAATCATTTTCAGCTCGAAGCAGATCAAGATGAATTGTCGGCAAAGATGTGGAAACGATGATAGGTTCTGTAGTAACCGCCATTGCTATGGGAATGTTTGGTGCGTATTTGAATGGTGGTATAGAGATTGGAAAGAAATGTTACTTTAATGGCACATACCTTCCAGCTTTCAGGTGGCTTATATACCCCACGAGTTAGCATCCTGGCGACGGCAAGCAGTAAGTAAGTGTCGGTAGAACCACTCTTCACTATAGACACCATACGCCAGGCGGCGATCTCATCGGCTGCCAAAACAGGGTAATATCCATCCTTAGCATGGATCATAAAAGCATGTGCTGGTCAAATCCTTTCAGATCACTCTGGGGCCAGATGCATTGGGGTGAAAAGTGAAAAGTCTGACTTACGCCGCTATTTACTGTTTCACTAGGCAGCGATGACAGGTCGTAGAGTTGCCAAGGGTTCCGCAATCTTTCAATATCAAATATCGTATCCCAAATACTCTTACAGTCAACAATAAAGGTCAAAAAGTGCACGCAAGCTGCAAGGTCTTTGCTTTCTAAACTACGGCTGTTCAGCTCAAACTCATTAGATCTAGCCAGATAATGCAACGTTAAGCTGAGAGATTCGATATTCGAGCACTGTTCTTTAGCTGGTGCTGAATTCTAAGCCTATCATCGAACAGATGTGTATTAACTCCATAGTTCCCTCCATCATAGTACAGAATGAGGCCGGTGCCACATATGTATGACCAATTTTTCGGACGTTTCAAAAACCACGCATGAATTTCAAGTCATGAAATATTCAGTCGAGGTAGACAAGTTTCTAAATGAAAGTCATAAAGGACCGAAAGTATTCAATTTTCCTCAGTCCCGCTTTTCGCTCTAGAGTGGTCGCCGAGGTCGCTGTGATAAAAGGTACAAATACCTTCGGCTACTTAGGCATCACATTGATGTGGGGATCTACAGTACTTTCCCCACCATCTCCCATGGCCATTATTGTAAATAAGAAAGAGGTACTCGAAATGACAGGCAGTGAAGCAGCTTCCAAGGAGAGCTGAAGTAAGACAATTGTACTCGGAGTAAGCTGCATATACGAGTACAGTACATGATTAAGAAGACAAGAACTTGGGAAACCAATGTTCCAAAACGAAGTGAGAAGCGAGTTTTGTTACATACACTCTAGCGATTTGCCGGGTCGCACGTGCAAACCCTGCAAGCCCACAACATGCATGTCGGGTATGTAAAAGTAGGTTCGGGGGCCAATGCACCCTATTTGCCATGTGTTTTGTACCAATCAATTCCGTAATTGGTAATTCACGAATACGACTTGCATGTGGGGGTTTGAGGAGGGAAACCATGACATTACAAATTCAGGTTTCAGTACAGAGCCACCGAGACTATCTTCATGCTAATGACAGAGTCTCTCCACATGGCCTTTTGGACATGACTCAAGCTCTAATCCTTCACTTTGGGGTCTTTTTGGGACAGCAAGGCTTCAAAGATAAACTTTGGGCAACGATCAAAGAATGGAGTTAAATTGATAGTATTTGGATACCAAACTCACACCTTTCTGTATTAGCAGAATATTTGCCTGTGTCACCTCCATTGAAGCTGTTTTTGAGCATTAACTACGTAGTGAATTACATCGTAAAGCGGGGTTTTAAGCCACATTGCACGCAAAACTTGGAAGACTCTCACTTCTCAATGTCAATTGCAAATTGCTCCACTATTATGTGTACCGCATATTGGTCAATGTAGGATGTTCAATAAGCGCCTACGAAGAGGTTTCGTGGTGAGATTGATGGGATCACCGAGGAGGAGGCAAGTGGAGTCGAAGAAATTCTTCTAGCCTCGCTTACGCCTCTTAACGAAAGCGAAAGCACGACGGATCGGGCCGCGGAGTGGATGATGAAATTCAACGGCTTCGTCTCCATAAAAGTTACCTCCCTTCACTCGAGAAAACTTTTCACAATACATCTAACATCCTTGCAGGGCGTCGCTGTTTCTGCGCATTTTCCCACAGCGGCACAGCGCAGATCCAGACAGCCACCTGTAAGGCTGATGAAATTGGTGCTGACCCTTAGCTCCACTGACTGTAACGAAATGTAAGAGTTGTATGAGGGCATAGAAATGTATCTTGTACCCCTATTCATGCAAGGATTTGAAGGAAAAGCTTTTGGCGAAGAAGATAGTACAAAAGCTATACAATTTCTCTACATAAACAGCCATCTCAAAATGATTACTGCTTGGAAAGCTCTATTTCAATCGCCGTCTATTCCCGACAACTTTATGCCGCAGCCTTCTTTCCCACAAAAACCTCACATAATGGTACATTTTTTGTTCTACTTTGAAGGTCTTATGCTAATTTGAAAAGGATGAACAATGTATTGAAGGCTTTGATCGTATTGCCAAATTTGAGAAGAAAGATGCTCCCGTTGTCACCATGTTTAGTGGCGGTTTAGACAGCACTTATTTGCTCTTCAAACTCCAACAGCTGGGCTTTACCAATATTCACGCTATTGCCGTAGATGTTGGAGCTCCTATCGACGAGGTAGACCTGACCAAGAACGCCGCCCATTTTGGTGCCAAATTCAATTGTATTGACGGTCGTGAGTTGTTTGTGAAAGATGGCGTTATGCCAGCCATCCGCGCTCACGCGAAATACTTGGGGATGTACCCAGTGAGCAGTTCACTCACCCGCCCAATCATCGCTCGTTTGATCACAGACTACGCCAAATCCTTGAATGCGGGTCTACTACTTCATACAGCGAACTTGTCACAGAACAGTTTGCCTCGACTCAATAACAGCATTCGACGCTGTGGTTTCTCTGGAGAGTTTGGAAGTCCGTATGTTCACTCAGTTGTTTCGCGAGAGAAGAAGGCAGAAGAACTCGCAGCAGCCGGATTGACTATTATGTCTGACCGAAAACTGAGCGGCGATGAAAATCTATGGTGCCGGGAGTTCGAAGACGGTCCGTTGAATGACCCAGAAGGTTTCTCAATTCCAGAAGATGCCTATGAATGGACGCGATCTCTCAGTAATGATATGACCGAAAAGATCAAACTTACGTTAAAGTTTGAGAACGGCAACCTCGTTTCTGTCAACGAAGATAAACTTCCCCTTATTGAAGCCATCGCTTGGCTGAACAAGGAAGTGGGGAGATTCGGTCACGGCCGATTCGTTGGACTTGAGCCTTTGTCAACAGATCACAAGGTTTTAGAGGTTCGCGAAGCTCCTGCCGCTGCCATTATTATGGACGCTCTTCGTCACCTTGAAGTCGCTACACTTGATTCCAACTCGCTAGACTTGAAGCAACAACTGGAACAGAATTGGGTCCGAGAAGTAATTGCTGGTCACTGGGGAAGCATGTGCCATACTATGTGCGGCGCTGCCATTGCTTCATCTTTGAATGCCGTGAATGGAAGTGTAACCTACAATATTGATCACAGGCGTTACCTTCCATGCTCTATTGTGGCGCAGAATTCTTGTTATGTCAGAAGTCGGGATGACTGGGAAAAAGAACAGTCAGAGCTCCTGTTCGGAAGAAGGAAGTGAAGCAGATATTAGTGGCGTTTTCCAAATTTCTTGATCTTTGCACAATTTAGAACTTTTTGCAATATAAAAATGTAAGAATATGGGACATAAAGTGATTTTTGGCTTGGTTTTTTTTCCTGCGAATCCTTTTCGCATTCCCAGTCTGAAGTCTTTACTATTGTATGTGTGGTTACTGCCTTACTGCTATGATCTTTCCTTTGAAAACCTCATTGCCCGATTTAGAACATATTTTCGAAGCTTCAAGCCCAAGTCACCATGGAATGCGGCATTTGCGTTTTTGGAATTCTGAACAAACAACCCTTAAAACAGAAAATGTTACTCAAGCCTCCCGACTCTGCGGTTTAGTGTCACGTTCCATTTCCCATCCCCAAGCGACCTCATGACGGCTCAAAGCCAGTGAAAAAGATGAGATCCCGAGGTCAAGTGTGGTGAAGATTTTCTGGTTAGTTAAAGAATATGAAGAGATTTTCACGCTCGATGATGCCTTCTGTATTATTGCGTGCTGTTTTGTGGAATTCACAAAATATCATGCCGATCTGTGTGTTGTGGGATTCGGGCTTGGATCGGGAAGGTGGAGTATAGGGTGATTATGTTGAGATGGTGTTATGTTGGGACAAGTTTCTCTAAGAGTTTTAATAATGGAGCCAGGGCAAAATGGGGGTGGCAACTATCCGATGTTTTAGTCTCTATCGCACTTTATACTCGATAAACATGCTATTATTTCAAGAAGGGGAGGAGGCTCTTCATGTCGGATCTGTTCAAGAGGACTCCGAATAATTGAGTTTACATCTGTATATAAAATACTGGCTTGCCCAATATGCATTCCTCATATTGCGTCATGCCTGATAACTTGTCACGTGTATGTCACGTTTGTTACATAAAAACCATCATTTTGGAGGTATGGGAAGATTTCGCAATTTCTTGTTCTATGAAATTTAAAAGGGGCTATTGAAAGGCAGCAACTGGCCTGGAAATCTTAGAGGGGAACATTTTAAGTGTCATTGAAATGCTACGAAGATACCTCTACAGTTTATCACAGGCTCCAATAATGATCCCTTTTAGTTAGGTGACCCATCGCAAGATACTTATTTTCGGCAATTATGAACGTCTTATAATCTTCAACCATTGAAGAACTTCATCTGTCTGCAGAGTTCTCTCATTTTTTTATTTTTAGGCAACTCTATTCATCCTGCGGGTTACTTGTCTCAACGTAAATTTACAAATTCTCCTTGATTCTTGGATGGAAGTAATGAGAATCGAGAACTTTTTGGAGGGGAACCAGCCAAACTAATATAAGAATACTTTATGATAGTTTGTAGCAGACAATAAACTTATTGAACCCCTACCATTTGCATGCAACAACGACGACTTCCATGATTGGTACTATAGGCGCTTTTTTGATTAAAGCTGGACAAATTTGAGAAGAACAAAATTAAGCTACAGTAAAAAGATCATGAGACTCTATCTTCATGTTGTGCCCATCTAGTTTCTAGAGTGAGTAGAGTCTTTTAGGGTAAAGCAGAATGTGCACCTAGAAATATTTCTACAAACAAACAAAATAGTGAAAAATTTGAACCACATTCTGTAGCTAAGATCTAGTACGTTATAGATTATTTTCATTATCTCGATTCTAATGTTTGATGTATGGGTGGTAGTAACTGTGTCCACTCTTGCTTGAAGACGTGGGGTATGCTCAAACCCCGAAACAGAATGGCTGGACGAAACGCCTTCTTGAGTGGAGATCATTAAACCTTGAACCCCGCACCAACAATCAAAACAACTTAAAGAAGCCAGATTTATTTTAGACGTTTATGACATAAATATTGTCTTGGGAAGCCATATTTGTACTCTCTAAGAATTCCAACAATCGCCATGACTCAAAGACAAAAGACCGTCAAAATCGCCGCTATTCAAGCATCACCAGCATGTTTCAATCTCTCTGAAAGTCTCAAAAGGATTCAACACTTTACTGCAACAGCGGCCTCTCAAGGAGCAGAACTAGTGGTCTTCCCAGAAGGGTTCTTATCCGCATATCCATGGCGATACGCGTTCGATGCCACGATCGGGTTCCGTGAGCCCCGAGGTTTCTATGTTCATTCTGGAGTTTGAACTAGGCTGATTATAGCAGGCCGAAAATGGTTTGCCAAGTACCATGAATCATCGATAGATATTTCGTCCCCAGACTTCGACATTTTGCTCGAATGCGCGAGGGAGAACAAGGTCAATCTTTATGTTGGTATTATTGAAAAAGATTTGAGAGGAACCTTGTATTGCACTACGGTTTTCATAGGGAAAGAGGGGACACTTCTTCATAAACACAGAAAGGTAAGTAAGTCTGCTGCACTAATTCCCAAAGATGAACTTCTGAGTAAGAACTGTTGTAGTTGATTCCGACAGGCGCCGAGCGATTAGTTTGGGGACGGGGTGCAGGGGATTCATTGAAAGTGACTGATGTCGGTTTTGGCAAAGTTGGCGGGTTGATTTGCTGGGAGAACTATATGCCCGCTGCCAGACTTTCTTTATACCAATTGGGAATTGAGTATATGCCCGAACCAACTTGGAAAGGAGATCAACTCTAACGGGTTTTATCTGGCAGGATTTACATCGCTCCAAACGCAGACGACTTACCCGCTTGGAGTGCAAGTATGCAGCATATCGCCAAAGAAGGTCGATGTTTTGTTATTTCCGTCAATCAGTTCTGCAAGGTATCAATCCCTTCTTCCCATCTCTCCCGTCATTAGGAAAATCGAAGCTCAAAGTGAATAACACCAGGTGTCTGATTTCCCTGATGATTATCCCCCTTTTGCAGAGGGAAGCATAGATCGCAATTCTGACGGTGAGAACTGGAGCAAGAACGATATTTTGAATCATGGTGGATCATGTGTTGTTGGTCCCTTGGGTACTTTCATCGTGGAGCCTGTTTTCGACAAAGAAGAGATATTGTATGCAACGTTGCAGCTTTCTGATCTCGTGGAGGCAAGGGTAAGTTTACGCCCTTATCTTGACTTTTTGGCAATTGCTCATTTTGATGTCAGATGGATTTTGATCCTGTTGGAAACTATTCGAGGCCGGATATTTTGTAGGTGGCTACCAGTGGCAATCAAGACTTTATTAACTAATTACTTAGTACTTTAAATGTCGACAAGAAATCCGCTGTCAATGTAGCGTTTAAGGAATGAAGGTATAGGTACGCTTGAAGTCCGTCTTTGTATCTTTATACTGCTTTTTACCAAGAGACGTATTTTTCCAATCTATACTTCCATGAAAAACACATATTCTACTATCGAGCTTCAAACTATCGCCTTTTTATTTCGACTGTTCATATTAGTTTAATCTTGTGGTTCTCAGGTACATGTACTTTATTGATATGGGTTCACAGAATCTATTGTGGTAGAGCCTCTATCACAACATCCCCAGAAGGCGTAAGCTGTAAATGTCAATAGACAGTCGGAACTATATTATCCGCGCTCCTTGTCTCACTCGGAATGTATCTGGCCTAACCAGTGCCCTAAATAGCCGTTTCTATTAGACCCTATTGACGTATATAGTTTAGTTTTATGTGTAACTTCTATATTAGTTAAGGACAACTTATAGAAACTCTTAATCTCTTATTTATAGATTTTGCTATGTTTAGTCCCAAACTCCGACCGTAAAATATTCCTTTATCTCTATATTAAAAGAGACACGTTTAAATCAGGGGTTCGCTAAACATGAAAATCAGCTTGGCGGGACAGGGAGCGCTGAGTAGATACAGGGAGAAACCTTCAGTTCAGCAATGCGGTGATACTGTAATCTCTCGAGGATACCAGGAACTCCAGCGACGAACAGGCTCCGAGGCTCTTGCCATCGTCTTCTACACACGAACGCGATATGACGAGACAAGTTGACTTCGCTTGGTATTGAAGTTAGGGAACATGGGCCCCATGACAAATGTGGGGGTGAAGCCATGGTCAGAAATCGTGGGGAAAAACAACCGGTCGGGGTTTGAGTACTCTGTACCCCCGCTACCTCCGGGTACTTTCATAGGAGTAACACATGCACCTATCTACTCGGTGTTTGACATTTCTTATCTTACCATTATGTTTTTTCCCGATTGGAAAGGAAATTGCAGTGGAAATGGTTAGACTAAAAGAAAAAAGGCGGGCATCGAAATCCTTCATAAAGAGTGATTGCCCATGAAACAGCAGCGGATATTAAAGATATCTTCTGGAAAAAAGTCTCGTAATACATCCCTACAAAATGCCAGCCTCGGGATCCCTTCGCGGAATAACAAAGTATCCATTCCTCTCCATTTTTTCCCTTCTCCCCTTTGCTCCCATTGCGACCCAAAACATTCATTTTTCTAACAAAACATCAGAGAACCTGAGTTCGAGACCCTCCAACTACATGCAGGGCAAGAACCTGATCCTGTGAATGGCTCTCGCGCCGTCCCCCTCTTCCAAACATGTTCCTACAACTTCATGGACGCAGCAGATGGTGCGAGCAAGTTTGCTTGGGAGAAAGACGGGTATGTGTACACGCGGATGGGGAACCCGACGATAGGGGTACTAGAACAGAGAATGACGATGTTGGAGGGGGGTGTGGGGGCTGTTGCTACTGCTAGTGGACATGCTGCACAGGTAGGTAGGGTTTTGAAAAGACGGCTGGGAAGATGCTGATGATACTAGTTTATGGCTATCACGTCTGTGATGGAATCTGGATATAATTTTGTCAGCACGAGTTGGCTTTATGGGGGGACTTACAACCAGTTTAAGGTTTACCTTAAGAAGTTCAATATTCATGTTAAGTGGGTTGAAGGACAGGGTGAGTCATATTTCTTTTTTGAATTATATCCTTCGAGGTTCAGTATATTCTGATTATAGGTAGATCCTGCGGCAATTGCGGCTGCAATTGATGACAAAACTCGAGCTGTGTATATTGAAACGATTGGAAATCCAAAACATAATGTCCCGGATATTGTGAGTATTCATTTCCGGCAAACTGCCTTCTCGCTGGATCGACATGGAACCAAAAATATGCTTGAAGTTCTCATACTAGTCTTATGGCCTGTCTTCCGTCTACAATCAAATTATGCCTAGAAACTTATACTGACGGAGACCCTAGGCGGCTATCGCTAAAGTGGCACATGACGCTGGAATTCCGTTGATTTGCGATAACACTTTCGGAATGGGTGGGTATGTCCAGAGGCCGTTCTCGTTAGGAGCCGATATCATCACACATAGTGTTACGAAATGGATTGGAGGTGAGTACTTATTTCCTTTGACGTATTCTGAATCCGATTTGCTTGAGGGCGAAGATCAGACCGAGCCACCAACTGTTGAGTCTGAGTGTGTTCTATTTTAACACATGTATCTCAGGACATGGAACATCAATGGGAGGAATAGTGATCGACGGCGGAAAGTTTGACTGGTCCAAAAGTGGAAAGTTCCCGGGCTTTACAGAAGTAGCAGACGGTTATCACGGCATGAAATTCTGGGACAAATACGGATTTCACGCCCTCGCACACAAACTACGAATGGACGCCATGCGAGACCTCGGACCATGTATAAGTCCCTTCAACGCGTGGTTATTCCTCATGGGTCTCGAAACGCTCAGCCTGCGTGGAGAAAGACATTGTCAGAACGCTCTCGCATTTGCGGAATGGCTTGAAGCGCATCCTCTCGTCAATTGGGTGCTGTATCCGGGGCTTAAGAGTCACCCCGATCACGAATACGCAACTAAGGAGTTGAAGAATGGATATGGTGGTGTCCTGACTTTTGGTGTCGCTGGTAGTATTGAGGAGGTAAGTGCGGTTGTTGATAATTTGAAGCTGTGTAGTCACCTGGCGAACGTGGGAGATGCGAAGACTTTGATAATTCACCCATGGCGGACCACTCATCAACAGTTGCCGGATGAGGAGAAGATTCAGGCGGGTGTGACGCCAGATCTTATACGTGTGAGCTTGGGGCTAGAACACATTTCTGATATAAAACACGATTTCCAACAAGCTTTCGATGGGGCGGGATTGAAGACGACGCGGAAATAATTGAAGAGAAATGCTGTCGGAAGTGGGTTGCACCCCCCGTTTACTTCAGGCTAGTCGCACTTATCCTAAGACCTTAGACGATAGATACAAACAAACAAACCCAGGACTAAACTTTTCTTCCAAGTTCCATTTGATGAGTCTGATCTAAACTTCGGTTTCAACAAATATAAAACTATAACCATCCAAATACTTCCGGGCAAAACTTTAACACAACAAGTTAAAGACGCCTAATGAGCCTTAGTAATGAACTCAACTTCCGTCGACGAAAGCCTCCAACAACGTTGGAACATTGCCATTCAGCCAAGTCGAGTATTTCGCACGATATATAAGTATGGGTTATCGCCTATTTATATACAAGCGACGATAATATTCCGGGGAAAGAAGCACGATACAATTGTCCTCTATTATCTTTTGAATCATTTCTATTGGCATGGATTGTATCTTCGTATCTTCACGCCATGGACAGAAAAGGTGGCGGGCCCGTGCACCCCTGAAAAATAGACATTCATTCAAGCGCTACAAAATAAATAGAAAATAAACAGAAGCAGAATCATTCAATAATCAATTAAGATTTAGTATAACCCACAGAGACTTTAAATATAGCATTATTAGAAAATATTATCTAAACTCCATGCGACGACTATTCGTTTATAGTTGGGTTCCGCCACCTGTTTTGTCCACCGCGTCCGGGTGGTTCCTTTATCAAGCCACGAAACAATATCACATGACTTAAGCGTATCTCTCAATTTTCCAGCGACATTTCAATCTGTAATCTTGTTAAAGAAATTGGATGAGCTGGCAGTAGACAAGATGAATATTGGTGGTTGAGTCTCAGTCTACTTATTAGTGTGAAATAGTTCAAAGTATAAATAGAATTAAGATCTTTGAACAATTACTATCATTATTCCAAGACTTTTCTGGTAAATTGTTTTCCTTAGTTTAAGTGACTAAAACTATGAAATAGTTTGTCTTGAGTTACTTTGAGAGAAGATTATATACTAGGACTTTTCTCATCCCCTGGTAGGCGGGGCGAGAGGAAGCATATAAGTCTTGATTGTTCTAGTTTCTGCTCTGGTTCAATGTAGCGGGGAAGAAGTCACGTCTTCTTGCCTCAGTTCAAATCCCGACGGGATTTGAAAAAAGAGAGAGTACGAGTAATCGTACCAGTAATGCTTCAAGAGTCACATTTCGCGCCTATTATTATGTCAACATATCAAGCTCAGTAAGTTTATGAATGATTCTATCCTTCTAGGCTTTTCTCAGTAAAGCTGTCATTTGAAAATTCGGCGTGGGAATTGCTTTTCAACCTCAGACTTGGAAAACATCGCTGAGGTCGCCCGATTGATGAATCCAGCCACACCGTGCGCCCTTGACCTTGATATTCTCACCAGAGGCTTATTCAGCTAGTTGCAATATACTACACCCCATACTTGCTCATATAATCTCACCTGATCATTATCGGCCGCTGGTGCGTCGTGAACAGGGGTGGCGAGAGGAACTGTCCAGTATTTTTCCATCGTTTTTCTCCTCGGATCCGGTCTTATTTTTGGGATCTTCAGCTTATATCAGATGTATGTTGCCCTCGCAATTGTTTCTTTGCCCACATCATCTTGCCCTCTTGAAAATGATGGATTTCAGCTGGCCAATACAAGAGACACTCAGTGGTTTATCATCCATGGACCTCGTTGACTCAAAACTCGATAGGGCGCGAACCAGTAATGAAAACATTCCAAAATCAATGGCAAAACCTGCCAGAAAGAAGTTTGCGGTGCCGCCCGTAAAACTCGCTTGCCTAGAGTGTCGCGCGTCTAGAACTCGATGCGACGGGAAGACTGAGTGCACAAGCGTTAGTGAAACATCCTCCTTTCTTTCATTAAAATTCTGATTTTCTCCACAGTGCACAGCGAAGGGGAAAAGTTGCATTTACACACAAAGTCGACGTGGCGGTTCCCGGATTCGCAAACGGGGAGGATCGTCATCCGTGAGAGACCTAAAAGATGTGAATCTACTGGACAACAGCAATTTCAATCATGTTCCTCTATCGATTTTGCCTGAATCAAATCAGGGTGATTTTACTTCTGGCTCGGTTCAGAAGCAACCGATTACTGACTTTGATCTTTTAGCCTCGTTTTCAGAGCCGTTATCGTTGGTTGCCCCAGGGGGTGGGTTAAAGCAGTGTGTTTCCCCAATTCGTATTTAGTCGATGAGTCCAAAGCGCTGACTTGGAGTGTCAGACTTGATTTTGCTTTTGAAGATACAGATTTTATGTTTGATTCTATATTCAATACCCAGATTGAGAACCATGATAGCGGATATGGATCGGCTTCAGACCACCCGGCACCCTCTTCCGAGAACGGCCAGCCACCCTCAGCCATCCGAGTATATCGAAGTGATCAAGACATGTATAATAATTCGATCATTCAATGTACTTAAAGCTAATCAACCAATAGTCTCGGGGCATATTATACCTACATCCATCCATATTTTCCGGTCTTGCCACCACCAGAGGCCCACCAAGTTTTCGATAACCCAGAACTAGGCACACGACGAGAACCAGATGCCTTTTTCAGCAGCCAAAGTTGCCCAAACTTCGAGCCTTCAACCCCAATAAGTCTGGCGATATCAGCTACTCTTACTTTGATCCCTCACCCAGGCGATCCAGATCCTTCGGGGACGAATTCCGTTCTTCTCCGTCGCGAGCAGGCCCAAGCATTTGCACAATCTGCATTCGAGAGTATTGAAATTGAATCCGAATTGATTGATTCCACCACACAACCATCCGAAGCTTTGAGCAGCGAGCCGAATCCTCTCAATCGAACCTCTTTTCATCCTCAAAATCCGATTGAAAATGAGAGTATCATAGCGTTACTTTTACTTAGTAGTTACGAGTATGCTCAACGTGGGAACATAGCAAAAATGCGGAATCGAGCTGGCCAGGCTTTAAATGCTGCGATTGCTTTGGGTTTACATTCCAGGATAGATGATGATGCGTATTTTGTCGAGGCCAATCGAAGAGTGTGGTGGATGACTGTAAGTATTGGAAACTGTCCGTTTAAGCTGCTTCTAATGAGGCTTTTAGTATATAACTGCTTGCCAAGGGTCTATTCTTAGTAACTCTGTAAGTTCACCAACGAGATATTTTGCAATTCCCTGATCTTTCTGAATTGAAGTCGCTTGTATATTAACATTCCCGCCAGCCTCCACCAGTTCTTCTCTACGACCCTCGCTTCACAACACCCGGTCCCTGCTTCTCAGCAGATCCACCGGTGAGTTTCCCTATTTATTTCCTGCTGCCACATCAGGCCTAACAAATTTAAATAGTCATGGACAGTCTTCCTAGAAGCACAACAAGTAATTGTCTCCGCAACCCAATTCGTAATCGACCTAGACATAGCCATGAAAACGCAATCCACAACCTCAGCGATATGGGATCGAATGCTCGAGCTGGAAAGTATAATTGAACCCCTGACATTGAAAGCAGATACCTGGGCTCTGGAATCCTCTCCACCACTATCTCTTGATTCGTCAGAACTCAAGGTGTCTCAAGCCTTGAGGGGAATAGCGCGGATAAAATTAAACAGGTGCGTAGTGGTGTACACAAGTAGACTAAGAGTGGGAATGAGATCTGACATAAAGATAAGTGCAAGAATCAAACTCCACCGCTACTGCGCATTTCTAGATATCCCCATCTTCACAAAGAAGCACTGCGACCTCCCACCAACACCTTCCAGCCTCCCCTCAAAACCTATCACAGTAACACCAAATTGTTCATGCTCCAGCAGCTTCTCCCAAACCCTCTCACCCCTCTCTCTCAACACCCCATCCAGCTCAAGCCCACAAACCATATCATCACCTCCAAGCCACCCACTCCTCCCCTTTCCCCCGAACTACTCCGCAAAACTCTGCCTCAAATCCGCCCTCAACATCGCTCGTTCCTTTCAATCGCTACCCTACCCACAGGCCATCCGACCAAACGATCCTATATCCTTCTTCCTCCCCCCAGGAGAGAAGTTACCGAGGACGATACCGGTTTTTGCATGCTGTGCTATGCAGGCTAGTTATGCGATGATCATGCTTTGTTTCAAGACTCAAGCTATGGGGTTTGTTCCTGAAGGGGGATGTGGTGATGCGGGGAGAGAAGGAATGGGGAGTGCGTGTGCAGGTGGGAATGGAGCGGTGGGGAGGTTGTTGGCGCAGCTTGAGGAGGGGATAGGGTTGGTGCTTGAGGCGCTTGGGAATTATGGGAGGGCTTATGAGGGGCTTGGGGGGATGAGAAGTGAGTTTTGTTTTTGTGATTTAGGTGAGGGGTTTGAGTGTGTTGGTGCTAACTTTTGGAATAGATCAGATACAGGTAGCGGCTGAATCGGTGAAGGGTATTACTGTTAGTAAGGAGATTGTGGGATAAGAATCGAAATACGTGATCACATGAGTATCGGTCTGGTACGTTTCAGACACGGATTTTGGAGATAGAATATCGTTTGAACAGCCAAACAACAAGTCAAGGAAATCTGTTTTCCTTGAGTTGAAATAATTAGTTTCTATATCATGCCTCACAAACCCTTCCCTGGAGACTTTTATACATGGATTGAAGCCAAGTAGACATGAATTCATATTAAAGTACTTCTTATTATTCCATATGTATACGATGCATACTAAGCTCTCACAAAACCCCCAACGCAAACTTCTCGAAGCCTCAGATCCAAACCCTCGTTTCCAAGACAAAAAGCAAAGTGTAATAGATCACTATCCTCTCACCCTCACACGAAATGCCTCCTAATATCTCCCCCGTCTCTCCCCCCAACAAACCCTCACCCTCCACCTACGCCTTCCCTCCCTCTCCCCCTCCCCACTTCACATCCCCACCCTCTGCTTCTTCCTCAATTTCCCCCTCTTCCTGTCACCACTCTTCTCCCCTTCCTCTCGCTTCTCCTCTCCAACTTTAACCATAACCACACCACAAACAAGACACATAACACCTATCTCCTCCTCCAGTCTTTCTATATTCCCGCATTTATCCCCTTCCAACGTATTCAGACAACAGAAAAGCTTCCGAGTCTCATAGTTCTCCGGGGCTCTTAGATTCGTGCTGGCGCAATTTGGGCATGGTGTGAGGTTGAGGGGGTTAATGTGGGGAAGACGACTCCAGTTTTGTGTGCATTTCGTACAGTACCAGGCGTTTTTTATGTAGATGTGTGGGGTATGAGGTTTTTGGTAGGAGAGGAGGGTGGGGAGAGAGAAGTTGCGTGGCATTTTATATTAGGGTGGATCTTTGGTAGGTTGGTATTTGGTGTGAAGTGGTGTTGTAATCCAGATTTAGGGTGGCGCTTGTGGATATGGTGGATGGGAATTTCTGGTGAGATGGATGGATGGACTATTGGTTTGTCGTTTTGAAATAGAGTTGAGAGGTCTTGTATATCCACAAGGCAATTATAGTTCACAACCTTGCGTTCACTACATTTAGGTATTGCGCAGTCAATCCACTCTTTGGACCTGATCAGCTGTGTGATTTGGATTTGTTATCTTTCTTTACTACCTTAGCTTAGTGAACTAAAAGAAGGAAAACCTTTTCGTACTCTCACTTAATCTTCTCTGTGAAGTGTTGAATTCACCTTCTAGATATAATTTACCATTTACCTCTACTTTTTTTTTCCTCTACCGATACAGTGAATTAAAAGGATCTTCTTTTGTATGCTCGCCTAAATCTCCTGCTTGTCCATAGGCAGTTCAATATTATTTAATTATCACGTGATTTGTGCAGACACAACACGCTATCTACAAGCTCCTCTTTATCTGCAGTCTGTTGGAACCTTGCGCGTAATACGCGCAGAGAGGAATTACTAGGAGTGCAAAACAATCTCACATTATACACTTAAAGGGAGATTCTGTTCAGAAAGAACGTTTCAATATATAAACTAGTATTAATTGGATATCTCTATGTACTTACTCTTTAATTTGGAATAGTATATTTTAAAGGACAAGGCTCTGGGATTCTCAATTCTAAATGGAATCTATATAGCCTCAGGGCTAACAAGAACGCTCGAAGTAACGTGAATAACGAAGTGACTAAGCAAATAGTGAATATACTAATTATTCTATAACTTATACCAATTAGTCACATACTACTAGCTGATTCTTAATACGTGTTAATATAATCTACTACTCTGAATATTATCAATTATAATTATCTTGGTTGGTTTATAGATATTAATTGTTAGAAAGTTTGGTATTAAATATAGATAAGTCTCCTTCTCCGAAAGGTTTATGTGATTTAATAGACTTATTGATCACTGGACTCTTTACCTAAATGTCGGTTATACGAAAGGGAAGAAAGGGTGTAATCTGTCCCTATAAATGAGAAGGATTTTACTTTATGAGATAGTAATTCTTTTCGATGTTAATGTAGAAATATTGAAATACAAGGGATCCATGAACGAAAATAATTATAGAAGGGTGTCGAGTATATAGCATGAGGATGAGGTTGACTACGATATGCGGAGTTCACTAATTAAGCTAGGTCGCACCCGTGGACAAGTATGGCTTTCTCGTGTAAACCAAGTCTCCCCATCATTCACCATCCAAGTGAGGAGGGAATTGAGATCACCAAGATATTTCAGACTGGTCAACTCAAATGGAGTAAACTTTTTTCATGAAATGGGATTGAAATTAAGGGAAGGAAAAGTCTTGAGAGCCAAAGAGTTTCGCAAAAAAGGTGGTGGGTTTTATGTTATCATTACCTCCGATAATGTCAAAAAGTCTTTTGTATATACTGTACCGTTGATGACGGGTTCACAAACACATCCGAGTTGCAAGACGTAACAAGTAATATCTTTTGGTGAAATGGTTGGTGCCAGCTGAGTGGGGTATTGTGTTTCGTCCCATCACACAAAGTGATCATACGAATTATTCCGGGTAACATACTCCTCTTCCATTTGAGCGCGGTACCTTTTGCTATCGATTTATGTCAAAATATATATCGCATCGAGGCAAGATTGACTCGGGAATTCTCTGAGTAGTTGAAGAACAAAGATCTATCATGCGTGCCCAAGATCTCCCCAAGTTCAAACATATGCCGAAAGTGGAGGGCATGCCACATGGTACAGCATGGGGTCTATAGGACAGGAATGGTGAAAAAGATAGTAATGGATCATTGAATCTACTTACGCCAGAGAATACACTTGAGGCGCAGAAGGAGATTCGTACAGGTCAAGGAGTAGCATTGTAGTAAGCTACATCCAAAATATCCTAATCCACTTCAATAATACGCTCACTAAATTTAGGGAAATGCTAATAGTTGGGATCTCAAATGTGTTGATTGCCCGGGCTTCGATCGCCAAGTTCCAACACACGAGTTCAATGACCTCAAACCTCTAGGCTTCGTAGCATTCGATGACTCGATCCATATAAACACACAATCTGGTTCTCAAGTTAGCTCTCATTATCCTGTCTTCGCAGTCAGAAACTAAGCTTGGTCACAGTGGGATGGATTTCGACACTGGGGCCATCAAACAACCGGCCTCTACTACAACAATCTCAAACACGAAGAGATACCCAACCCATTACACGCAGAGCAAAACGGGATCCACCAATGGACCCGAAGAGGAGGTATTGTAGGACGAGGCGTCCTCATCGACTACGTTTCATACGCCGAGAAAAACGGAATTGAATATTCTCCCGTTTCTAGACATGAGATTTCCATCCGAGACGTAGAGACCATTGCGAAAGAGCAAGGGGTGGAGTTTAGACCGGCAGATATCTTGATTATAAGGAGTGGATGGGTGAAATGGTGAGTTGTTTACTTCTTGAAAGTTTTGTCCTGAATCTGATTTCTGGTGGTAGTACTTCATGATTACCTCCTCGCTATGTTTGGAACGCCTATTGGGGAACTCTGGAATCTGGAGGAATTAGCTGAGGTCTGTAAGAAGGAGAAGAGATACTCGTTTTTCTTCACTAGTGCACCGCTTAATGTTTACGGGGGGGTTGCGAGACCTCCAAATGCGTTGGCTATCTTCTAAAGCTATCTTGGTCCTCTTTTGCATCTCGGAATTAGAAGATATTATACTTCAAGAAAATTATCAGGTTTTAGGGCTTAGACAACGACATGTTGTCATTTTTTCTCAAACAAGCATATTCATGACGTAGACAAGCGATTTAGTTTCATGAATAATGGAAAAAATAGAGGGTAATTATAAGTACGATTTATAGTGCTCGTTTATTAGATAGTGCTATTGTTAATATTGTTCCACTTTTGATTGCTTATAGTTTCTACTGAAAGAATATACTAGTAGCCTTTTTATATTAAAGGAATACCTTATAACGTGCATGTATAGCGAACCGGCCAAACAAGCGAACCGGCCAAAATTTTCTACACTCGCGATTGAAATTGTAAGAACTCTACCACAAAGCCTCTAATTAAAAAACACTATTCAGAAATTTCTTCCTCAGATACTTCCTCTATAATATTACAGGTGCGCGTATTATGACCAGTCTCTCCGCAGTTGCCACAGCGCCGTGCACGTGATTCTTCCCTCGGCTTCCGACCACTACTTCTCTTTATTTCCTGCGTTACCTGCTCACCAACGTCTCTATCATCCTGTAGGTCCTGCGCTTCCTGTTGACTATGTGATCCTCCTTGCTGTAGGCGTGTTTTTTTAGCTCTACGGCGCTTACTTAGTACTTCATTTGCTTGTCGAAGTCTCTGGTTCTCAGCTTTCAATAGTACTATCTGGTGCATTACTTTTGATGCACCCTTCGTAAACTGGTCAATGGCCTCGTAAATAGGGGTTGGAGAGCTACTTTGGTGGCGTAAAATTCGATCTTTAATAAATGCAGTCTGTGATAAGGCTTCAGTAGGGTTATTTGGTGTCTGGGAAACCCAAGGCTGAGCGGAATACGGGGGGGAGTTTGGAGGCGTTGGCGTCTTTAGCTTAAGATCAAGTGTAGAAATTACACTTTCTGGGTCAAATGGAAGAAGCCCAGCCCCTCGGAACCCTCCTCGGATATTGCTTTCTGTCATTGCAATATTAAATGCGGCGTGGAAGGCAGGAAAGAAATCATCCTTAGTAATATGGATGATCTGAGCCCGCATCATATCTTCAATTTGCTGACCATATGCCCTTTTCAAAGGGCTAAAACAGCCAACGTCGAGTGGCTGGAGTATATGAGAAGAATGAGCAGGCATACAAAGAGTGATAATGTTGTTTTCCTTGCAATATTCCTCAAATTCGTCGGAGTGGTGGCATTCATGGCCGTCGAGGACTAATAGACGATAACGACCAATAGATTGGGACTTTGTATGCTTCTCAAAATGTCGAATCCAATCCATGCCTTTCTCATTTGTTGTCCAACCATTTTCAG